ACACGGTGGTTCCGTTGTTGTAGTTTGTCCCTGCCTGAAATGAAGCCTGGTTGCTGTACTTTCGAGTTCTTCATTCTTCGATTAGCTTTTTTTAGTTTTTTCCACCTCTGCCCTTAGGAGGTGTTGTCAAGTAGCAATGGATATCCTTCTCTCTGTGAACTCAGAAATCAGCATTCCCACCATGTTAGAATTATGTGTCACCAACAGGGAGTGGATTCTGAGTTGGGTCTGAGAGGCTCTCCTATGAGAAAATCACAGTTTTTAATGCATAACTGTTATGATGTTGGTTTTGGCTGCTCAGAAATTTTTCTTTTCTTTAGTTCTGGCCTTCATCACTGTCCTTGATAATGAATCTGCTGGAATCCCGAGTTCATGTTAGCCAAGATGATACCATTTATGCCCTCTGGTGAGGCAGTCAAGACCTGTGTGTATGAAAGTTGAGTAAATGAGGTCACATACGTGGAATCATTCTGTCAGCTCCAACATCTAATACCTGTGGTCCTGACAGTTTCTGCTGTTGGAAAGGGCTCCAGGCAGAACAGGATGGACAGCTCAAGAGAGCTGTGCAGGGAGAAACTGTTTTAAGAACCCAGAGACCAGATAGATGCTCCCAAGGAGAGCCTCATATGGCAGAATGGTTTAGAGCGTGGGCTGCCAGGTTTAATCCCCGCTTTGCTCCTTCTAGCTGTGTGAACTTGGACAATTTGCTGAATCGCATTGTTCCTCAATGTCCTACCCTGTAAAATGGAGGTCATATATTGTTGTAAGGACTAAGTGAGTTAATATATGGAAATCCTTTACAATGTGCCAGGCACTATTCTAAGCGATCAATGAATGCTACTATGATTATTAAGCCTTGTGGTCAGAGAAGGCGTCAAGGAAGAGGTGAGACTTGGCTGGATCTTGAAGGATGACTGAATGAGATTTGTGGAGGTGGGAAGGAAAGGCCAGGACTTCCCCACCAGGAAAACACCCTAAATGAAGAGTCTAGGGATGTGAGTCGAGTGTATCAGGGGCTGGTGAGGAGACCAAGATAGTTGTTCTCTGTGGGAGATAAAATCAGAACTGTGGATTCAAGCCAGCTTCTAGAAGTCTTAACTTTCAGGCCAAGAATGTAGCCCACCGGAACTTTTAAAGCCAGTCAGATCTGGGTTCAGATTTTGACTCTGGCCCTCGCTAGCAGTATGACCTTGGATAAATTTCTTGCACTTTTGAGCTATGATTTCCCCATCTGTACAAGGAAGTGATAGCAGTATCTACTGATGAGATAGCAGTGGGGAGGAACTGGAACCATGTTCAGAAAGAGCTGGGCACACTTGTAGTGCTTGGTAAGTGAGACGTGTTCATTTTTTATTTTGTATCCATTTAACAAACACAGGCATGACTTTTTCTCAGCCAGAAACTGTGCAAGCAGCTGGGTATACAGAGATGAATGAGACATTGTCTTTGCTCTTGGAGATCTCACAGTCCAGTCAGGAAGCAGGCATGGAAACAACTGCGATAGAGATCTGATAATAACACGAGGTACATATCAAGAGAGGAATGGCTGGCTCTGCCTGGGAGGTCAGGTCAGAACACAGAGCAAGGCATATAGACCTGGTCTTAAGGCAAGAGTCTACTTTCTCAGGCAGGGTAGGGAAGGATGTTTCAAGCTGACGGAATAGTATGTGCAGAAATGTGGCATATTAGGGAAATGGAAAGAAACTGGGTATGGATAGAGCCCCAATTGTTGCAGGAAAGAAGGTTGAGGGAGGCGTGGTCAACTTGGAATGGACTTTCCTGAGAATATTGGGCTTGATCCTGTGGGCCCTGGAAAGCCTTGAAGAGTTCTAGGCAGATCCATGACTTGGTTGGACGGCACTGGCAGTGCTTGGAGTATGAATTGCAGGGTGACAAGACTGACTGTAGGGGGAGATCATTCAAGAGCCTTATTAATGTTCCGAGGAGAGGATCTGGTGTGGGTCTGACCTTGGGGCTGTGCTGATGGTGATCGAGGGATGAAAAAGGTTTCTAGGAGTTGAGTTTTTAGAGTTTTAGAAGGTGGAACTGGTAGGACCTGGTGATTGGTGTGAAAAAAGAAAAAAGAGCAAGGCTGATTTCTGGGTTCCTAACCTGATCAGGCAATGCAGGCAACAGGAGCAGGCTTGTGGCGGAAGGGTTCTGAGGTCCATCTTGGACATGAGGACACAGCCTGTGAGACACTCAGATCGAGCTTCTCTGAAGGCAGGTGGATATATCAAGCATAGAAGAGAGATTTGTCCCGGAGCCTCTGAAAAGTTCTGAGCATGTGTGCACGTGCATGTGTGCATATGTATGTGTGCCTGTGTGTTGATTACAGCAGTGCTTAGTCGGGTGTATCTGGTACCTGTGCCAAGAGAGCCAGGCTGGGCATGGGTAGGGGACCAACCAGCAGGAGGCTAATGAAGGAAACCTGGGGTCAGGGGTGAGCGTGGGGGCTCTAATGACCCGGAAGCGCAGTGGAGAAAGGCATAGGAGATTTTGTTCTCCTGGGCAATTATCCCTTTCTGTGCGGAGGAAGTAGATAACACACTGAGCTCATGAGGGTTGCCGGGAAGCTGCTGGTCCACGACACACATTGAGGGTCTGTACAGTGCCTGGCTCGTGGCTAACTAATGGCTTCTCTGGAGCCTGGCAGAGTGTGGGGCACATGGTGAGTGTTCAGGAAGTGTTGGTTGGAAGCAGTGCCTTTGTTGAACTCAGGGAAACAGGCAATTTGTTGCCAGGGGTGGAGATGTCAAGTGCGGCTCCAGCGGAGGAGTGCACTGGCTGTCAGCAGCTGTCTGAGTAATTGCTGAGTGCACAGGTCGGGATGTAGGACCGGCAACCATGGAAGAGGCTAGGGCGGCAAATACAGGTTTGGGAGTCCCTCAGCCACGAAAGTGTGCTCTCATGAAGAGACGTGGGAGAAGAGAGAGGTGTGTGGAGGGCGCGAGACTGAGCTGAGGGGCCCATGATGGCAGGTGAGGGGCACAGGTGAATCCGCAGAAAGCGAAGGGCAGCAGAGGAGAGGCCAGTGAATCTCCAGGTGCCTCTCCGGGAAGCCAGCAGAGGGGAGACTCTTGCAGGCAGCAAACTACACTTAGTTGTTTCACCTTCCTGAGCATAGCATGACCCACATTAGTGGCAGGTGGGAATACTCTTGGAAATACCTGCCATGTTGGATTATCCAGAACTGCCGAGCCTCCTTGTTTGTGCAGGTGCTGAAGAGATGAGTGTGCTGACCGACCAGGGCCTTAGCACACTAGGGCCAAAGAGAGCCGGACGTTGGGCTCATGGGAGCCCAAGGGTTTTCCCCAGGGCCCCTTCCTAGCCAGCTCCCCTCCCTCACCACAAATGCATGTAATTCAGTTTATTTAAGGAAATCATTGTATACATGGCTTTTAGGGGGGTGCAGCTATTGGGAAAAGAAGCTCTGTTGCACAGAAGTGTCTTTGTAACACATGTAGAGATGTAAAGGCTTGTGTGTGTAGGTTTAGAAAATGGGAGGCTGATAGATAGATGGATAGATTAAAAAAAGGGAGCTGTGTTCATAATGGAGGGTGTGTCTTTAGCCACCGGAGGGAGTGTGGGGTGGGGTGGTGTGCACATCTCATATTATGTATTAGATCACAGTGCGAGTATTGATTCTGCATTCTGTGTGTGTATTGTGGGGGTGGTATAAGGTGTGACAGATGACAGTGTGTATTTCTGGAGTTTAGCAAACTCCCTCAGAGCAAAGGAGCAAATAACACAAAGAGAGGTTGGAGGTAGGAGACAGTGTGTGCATGTGGTGTGAGTGTGTACTGAATAGCTGTTTGCGTATATAAGTGCGTATCCCAGGGTCCATGTGTGCGTGTGTGTATGTATGTGTGTGTGTTTGCCCACTGGGTCCATATGTTTGTAAGTCGTGCTGTTTCTTTTTTCATCCTATTGCTTCCGCTAAAGGTTCCCAGTAGGTGGGCATGTAGAAATGTTTGGAGAGGGGCTTTGGCCCAGTTACAGAGCCGACCAGAGCCCCGGGGACTTGAAGCTTAGTTGAAGGAACTGCCTCTCTCCTCCCTTCCTTCCATCTTCTCTCTTGACCTATTTGGTGAGCCCCTGGGACAGGCTCAGGCAGGCCCCAAATAGGTGAGGGCTAGCTGCCCAAGGGCTGTGGCGTAACATAGGGATCAGCCCAGTATGGCCCCCTGAGGTTTGACCTCCTTCCACTACTGAAGTGTCCCATCCATCCTGGGGGCCCTTTGCCTCACCCAGCTGTTGAGAAGGCATTTATCCCAGAGTCACAGAACCAGGGCCTTAGATGAAATCTAGTCCACCCCTTTCATTTTTGCAGAAGAGGTACTGGTTGCTCAGAGAGACGAAGAGCCTGGGATGAGAGTCACATGGCACTTGGAGGCGGAACTGTGTTTTCTGACTGTGTACAGCAGACTCCACCCCCCCCCCAGGGGAAAGGATGTCTGGGTAGGGGTGGGGAGTGGGGAGTCCACGGGTGCAAAGGCTTCAGGTTTAAGTCGTGTGAGAGATTATACATGTCTGCATCACTAAGTGCCTATGTGTGTCAGTGTGTCACTGGGGGTGAGCCATGTGTGAGTGTGTCCCCATCTGTTTCTAAGATGCAATGGAGTGCAGAGGAGGAAGGTGCTGGGGGAGTCAGGACACCTGAATGCTGCTCCCGGCTCTGCCTCAGATTCCCCGTGTGACCCTGAGTGGTCACTAACATGTCCTGAGCCTCAGTTTCCTGAAATATAATGTGAGACTTGGGTCCCCTGGGACTGTGTGACCCTGTGTGTGAGGTGCTGACTTGGGGAACGGCTCAGTCTCTGTCTCGTCCCTATCAGGGCATTCCAGGTTGGGTGACTTGTGTCTGGGCCTGGGTGGGCTAGGGGACCTTGAACCCACCACCCATTGCTCCCCTTGGAGCCCCATCCTTGCTACCTTGCTAACAGCCTTCCTTTTTTCTCTCTCTCTGCCCCTCCTTCCCGAACCTCGCTGGCCTGTAGAGGAGCACCCCATGGAAGGTGAGTGATGCCTCTTGGTCTTTGGGGTTGGCTTATCAATCGCCATGGGGTTCAATTGGCTCCCTCCCCTACCCATGTTTGGGGCCCCCAGGAGAAGGATGTATGGGTGTCCTCTTGGCTGCCTCGGCCCCACGTCTCACCTGTTTCCTCTTCATGGTTTGCTGGAAGAACTGCCTGGCAGAGGCAGCCCCTCCACGGCCTGTCTTCAGCACATCTGCCCACTGGCCTTTCTTCTTTTCTGGGGAGGAGACCAGGCTGGGAGCAAGGCTGGAGGGATGGGGCTGAAGGATTCAGAAGTGCCCAAAAATGACTGAGGAAACTTAGAAAGGCCAAGCTGCCAGGGGCTGGGCTGGGGCTGGGGTAATGCTTGGGTGGAATCCGCTTGGGGTCTGAAGAGTGCAGGCAGGGTGTGAATCGGGTCCCCAGGTCAGCGGATGTGGGCCGGCTGGCAGCTTCTCTGCTACTCAGACACACGTGCGGTCCCCTAGCCCCGACCCCACGGGCTGGTAGGTAGGGGTGGTTGGCTTCCTCCTTCTGCACAGGCCCAGGCAGGGCGGAGGGTGTGCCTCTCTTCGGGGGCTCTCTGTCCACACTTTCCTGTCCTCTCTTTCACTTGTCTTTTCTCTCTCTCTCTGGTTTTTGTCTTTGCCTCTCTTTTTCTCCAGGGCTCTGTCCCTGGACCTCTTTCTTTGTTTCTGTCCTTCCCCAGGCTCTCTCTGGGTTCTGTGCTTTTCTCTGTTTCTTTTCCTTCTTTGAGGTGGACCAGGTCAGGAAGGGAAGACTGGTTGGATGGTCAAGGCTTAAAGGCTGAGCAGCAGGGGAGCACACGTGTACCCCAGGGAGAGGGCAGGCAGCTCGCTGGGCAGGAGATAGGATCCCAGTCACTAAATCTGCCCCACACTTTTTTCCTGGACCATCGGGAGAGGGAGGCACACGGGCAGCCCCAGGCTGGGAGCTCCCTAGGCCGGGCCCTGCCCTGGATGCTGGCGTCTGGGCAAGGAAAGAAGACAAGGGGCACTTGGCCTGAATGTGGGGCTGGAATCCATTTCTCTCCTGGTGTCTCCAGCTTGTCTCTCTCACTGATGTCCCTTCTCCTTGGGTGTCCTTAGGGGTCCCCTGGTCCCTGTGCACAGGCAACTGTGTGTGTGTGTGTGTGCGCGCGTGCGCGCGTATCTGTGCGCACATGTTCATGCAGCTCCGCTGCTCTGTTGTGTTTGTGTGCCTTTGTGCACATCTGCACACGTATGTCTGTGTACATGTGTCTGAGTGTGTCTGGAGGTGTGTATACCTCTATCGTCGTGTCTTCTGTGGCGTGGCCTCGTCTCTGTGTGCCTCTGAAGCAGCATCTGCATCTGGGTCTGCACCTGTCCTGTCTGTGTGTCAGTATTTACCTCTGTGTGAGTGAGTCTGCGTGTCTGGGTGGACGCAGCCTTCTGAGGGCTGGAGATAAGATTTAGTGCTGATATGACTTTTACTTGCTCTTGATGTCATGTCTCCTCCGGAACAAAGGGAGGGATAGAGGAGGAAGAGAGAGGGGAAGAGGTTGGAGAGGAGGGGCTAGGGGCAGAGGCAGGCAGAAGGAGGGGGGTAAATAGAGGTGGGGAGAGGAAGGACCTGTGGAGGGAGGGGCAGAAAGGGGAGAACCACTGGGGAGGGTAGAGGGCCAGGCGGCCGGTGGGGGGTGCTGAGGAGGTCGGGGAGAAAGCCAGAGGGCTGCTGCGGGGAGGAGCAGTGGCCTGGAGCTGGAGGAGAGGAAGAAGGAAACAGTTCTTCTCCAAGCAAGTGGAATAGAGGGACAAGATGAGAAGTGTGGTTTTGGGGACAGGTGGGGAATGAGATCTGTGGATGTCACATTGCCATCTCTTGGGGGCAGCATGGTGGTCTGCTGGTCTGGGTGTGGCCCTGCACGTGCCTGTGTGTCAGTGGCTGTGCAGGAGTTCTGTGTGTGTGTGTGTGTGTGTGTGTGTGTGTGTGTGTACACCCAGGGGTGTGATGCATCTGTGTCTGTGGCGTGGCTGCTTGTGTGTCTCGCTATCTTGTCCCCTATAACCCTCTTCCTTCTTTCGATGCTGGTCCTCCCTGGGGTTTTGGTAGGAGATTACGGGGGTGAGACTGAGAGTAGGGAGGTGAGTTTGGCAGGAGGTGGCTTCACAGGGATGTGCTGGGGTCTCCTCAGTGGCACTACACTCTGGATTCTGCAGTTCCCACTTCAGACCTCTGAGTCCTCTGTGACTTCACACTCTTTTCCCGTCCTTCATCCATCGACACTGTGCCGCAGGCCTAGTTTTCTCCCAGGAACCCAGCCATCCTGCTCCCCAGGCCCCTGCTGAGCATCTCCTTTTGAGGATCCAGGTAGCCCCACCTCCTTTCTCCTTAGCTTTTGGTATCAGGGAGAGAAGACCCAGAAGCAGCCAGATAAAGTGCCCTAGGAAAGGACCCTTGGTAATGCCATCCATCACTGCCAGCCTCTTCTCCAGAGGCACCGGAGGAGGGGCTGATGCCACAGGTAGAAGTGGGGAAGGGCGTCAGGAGGGGGCTGGAGCATACAGGGAGCAAAGGTTTCAGGTCAGGCAGGGAGGCAGGCTTTAGGGAGAGCACCCTCAGGCCAGGCTGGGCTGGGTTGTGGGGAGATGGGGCATGGAAGCGGCCTCCCCTTCCCCAAGATGGCTGGTGCTGTTACGCCTGAGGGAGCTGAGCAGCTGGTTGCCTTGGTGACAGAGGGAGAGTGCCGCATGCTAATGAGGCTGGCTGGGAGCTGGGCAGTGGAAGGGTCTGCGAGGAGAGAGATGCCGCTCCCTCCTCCCCCCAGCAGCAGTGGTGCAGGCCTGTGGGGACAGGAGGTGAGTTCACAGGGCACTCAGTTCCTGGGCCTAGAAGACTTGGATGAGGGGTTAGGGCCCTGGGTCTGGGTCCTGGATTTCGGGGGTTTGGAAGAAGATGCTGGTAGTTCTAGGGGAAAGAGTTGGTGGGGGGCATTCAGAGCAAGGAATAAGACTCAGTCCAAATGCCTGGGTCCTGCCTTGTTTTGTGGATCAAGCCGGTGTCTTCCCAAGAGCACTTTTGTCCTGAGGCAGCCCTAAGCAGCTGTGGCCCCCCAACAACTGCCTCATACTCAGAAGTGGGGAGAGACCAATGCTACCCGAGAGATGAGAGGTGGGCAACGTGAACCATCTGCCCACATCTTCTACAGGATCAGGTCCTTTCCTGGCCTCCTCACAGCCTTTCCTCTTGGAACCCAGGCATCTTGGCCCTCAGCCTTGCCCCAGAGACACCTAGAGCCCTTTACCCATCTCTGTCCTGGTTTTCTAGCCCCAGGGCCCACATCTCACAACCACAGCAGCTGGGATGGTTTCCAAGGGCGATGTGGTACTGCAAGGCTGTTCCTTCCCCACCCTCTTGGCCAGACACCACAGGTGCAGTGATGGGGAGGGGGACTGAGGTTTGGTGGGGCTGGCTGGTCATCTCAGGGAGTCCTGGGGTCTCAGCCCAGCTGTGGGGCCTGGTGCTTCCAGTCTCTCTGGATGAGAGCTTTCCTTGGCTGGTGCCCTTTGGGCAGTGAGGTACTGGTCCAACGGGCCAAAGTCTGTCCCCATCAGGCTGAGAGGGGCCCCAAATCAGGGCTGACCAGGTTCTCTCAAGGAGCCAAGGCAACCCTGAAAAAAATCCCAGCGGGTCTTACTCTCAGTCTTAGATGTAGGGCTTCTGTATTCCATTTTCAAAATTCAGCTTTTAGGTCATCAGAGAGGGCCTGGCCAGAGAAACAGGGTCCATAGAATAATTTCGAATGAGATGTGTTAACCCCTCAGAGAGCTGGGGCTCCCCACCGCGGGTCTTGGCTACCTTCTCTGGTTCTTGCTGTCCAAGAGCGCTAGCCTCATCTCCCAGTCCTCTCCATGGAAGGATCCAGGCCCCATCCTTGCTCCAGTGTTCTAGATTCCGCTTCTTCCTACCTGCTGCCACTCTAACTTTGTCCTCCTGAACCCCAGTTTCCTCGTAGAACCAGGTGTGCTAGGTGCTTGCTACCCATACGGAGGCTGTTGGCGGGGGACAGCTGGGGGGACTAGACCCAGACACGTGTCTTCCCAAAGTCTCCTTTGGTGGGAGATTCCTTCTAAGCCCAGGCTCCTCACACCCTCGCCTTCCCCTTCCCTGCCAGGCTCATGGGGTCACAGGATGGGGTGTGGGGGAGGATTGGAGCTCTCCCTTGCCCGCTCAATTCCATGCTAACAGGACACTCTCTCTCTCTCCAGGTGGCTTTGATTTTTGTGTCGTGTTTTATTTTCTCCTCCATCCGACTCGTTTTTTCTCGTTGACCGTTTTTTTTTCTCTCCGCCTCCCGGAAGAAAAAAAAAAAGAAAAAAAGAAAAAGGAAAAAGCAGCCCTCCCAGCCTCATGCTTCTCCTCCTTTTCCTTTTTTTTTCCGGCAAGAAGAAAAAAAAAGAAACCAAAATCTCCTCTCCCCCTGCAGTGACTCCCTGCCCCAAACCTTCCTCTGGTTCTGCCTGTGTTCCCCTCACCCTCTCCGGCGTCCCCCTCCTCTTTCTCTCTCCCCCTCTTGTGCCCTCACCCTCTGTTTCGGCATCGGGCCCCTTTCCTCAGCTCTGGGCTGGGGGCTTTCCCCCCCGATGTCTGTCACAAGTTAAAAAGGGTTTTTAAATTGTGGCAGCAAAAGCTTTTTTCTCCCCTCTCTCTGGCTGATTTTGATGACTCGTGTTTTCTTTGTTTCTTTCCCCTTTTCTTCCTTTTTTCTTCTTTTCCCCCCCTTTCTTTCTTTCTCTCCTTCCCCTTTCCAAGGTCCGGCTCACCTGACGTTAAACAGCGAAGGTATGGTTTGAAGTTCTGGTTTGATTTGGATTGGATTGGATGGCCCCTGACCTGTGCCTGGATTTTCTGTCCCTCTCCCCGCCCCCCTTTCCCCTCCTCCACCTGTCTTGCCTCCTTCCTGCCCTTCCTGCCCACTTCCTCTGCCATGTCTTTATTTTATTCGGGCGCTGGGGCGGGGGTGGGGGGCTGGTCCCAGGGTGCGCTCTCCCCTCTCCTCACCTCCCCCCAACCCCGACACATTCCATCCGCCCTCATCCCACCTTGGTTTCTGACATCAAAAGATGTTTGAACTCCTGCCGTGGTCTCCAGTCACCTTTTTTGCGTTTTCCTGATAGTGTATCTTGCTTTATTTTTCCCCCTTCCTCATGGTGGTGTTTTATTTCCTTCCACTCATTCTGACCATTCTTTCTTTTCTGTGAACCCAGATAAAAAGAGAAAAGTGTGGGCTGGAGGAAGAGGATATTAGGCAGCCTCATTCCCCTTACCCTGCTGCTGTAGGATGCCCCTTTCCACAGCTGTCTCACTGTACACCCTCACCCTTGTGTCTTGTGGATGTTTCTTGACCCTATTTGACAGAGGAGGACATTTAGGCTCAGAGAGATGGCGTGACTTGCTAGTGATTACACCGCCTTTAATTGGTGGTACCTTTGGGACTGCTCATCTATTTTTAGCCTCCCTTCCACCAAGTCCCTACCATCTTTAAAAACCCTGGTGTTCAGCAGGCCTGGAGACAGAGCCCAGGAGTCCTGACTATGATCCCCCAGCTCTGACCTCCCTGTCACTGTCTCCCTCCCAGACCCTCAGGCACTGCTCCCCCAACCCAGGGCCATCCTCTGTTGGGGCTCATCTTCCACTGGGACGGGGTGGGGTCTTAAGCCTGTAGGCAGGCAAGACTGGGCAGTGGGGAGAGACTCAGACCTGGAATTTGGGATGGATTTAAGTCTGGGGAGGTAGAGACCTGGAATTCTTGCAAGGATGAAAAATGATGGCAAGAAATATGGGGAAAGAGGAAGTCCCAAGTGGGGAGTCAGGGCCTGGTTGGTTCACTCACATCCTTCTTGCCTCTCAGTGCCTGGTTCTGGGGGTGCTGGCTGTGGCTCACCTTTGTCATAGATGAAGGCCTGAAGGATCCAGAAATCCCCCCTCCCACCTCCTAAAAGGCCACAGCTCAGGTGTTACTCTAGCTCTAGTTCTGGGGACTTGAGATTGGGGTTAGAGTAAGGGCCCAGACAGGGACTTTTAAATTCCATTCTTGAGTTTCCCTTAAGAACCATCTTGTGGGGTCCGGCAGTAGGTATGGTGTCTGGGAGCCGCTGTTCACTGGTAGGGTTGGGTGGAGAGCGCAAGGCAGCCTTGGACCCAGATATGGTAACACGTGCCTGCAGGGGCCTCTGGAGAGGAGGCCTGGGGTTGGGGGGCTGAGTGGTGGGGAGTGGGGGGTCCTCCCTGAGCAAGGCCTTCCCATCCACAATGAGCTCAGCCAGGCAGGACCTCCCTGGTGTGAACAGCCCTGCTGAAGGCACAATGGAGCAACAAAGAACAAGTAGAAAGCATGGCCCTGCCCCTGGGAAGCCCCAGGGTCTAACTGGCCAAGAAGTAGACGAAGGTGATGTTGGGAGCACTCCCTGTAATAAATGAACCAGGTGTAGAGGGAGAACCAGGTTTGCCTCAAGGATGGGCAAAGAACTGAAGAGAGATTTGATGTGGGAATTGGGAGGTTTCGGAAGACGGGTGCTGTGTTAGGCTATTGGATGAGTTGAGGCGCAGGAACCAGACCTAACAGAGCGGGGTGAGCAAAGATGCAGAGCAGGGCAGAGAGTGGGTGAGACACTGGACAGCAGCTCAGGGTCCCCAAGGCCAGAGGGCTGGCCTGTTTGCATGTGGTCAGGCAGAAGGGGCTCCTGAACTAGCAGTGAAGCCTCTGCTCTCCACCCCAGTCTCCTCACCCCTGGGCAAAGGGCAGAAGTCGGTGGTCATGAGTCTGATGTGGTTTGTGCAGCTAAGGGTTCTTGGTTTGTCAACTGGCTCCCTCCCCAGAGGCCGAAGCAAGTGAGTCCCCAGAGCAGCACCCCCGACCCTGTACCTTCAAGCAGACCCTCTGCCCTGGAGAGGGCCCTCCATCGCCTCAAGGCTGGGGTGGGACTGCCTGGGTAGCCCCCTGTGCCTGACTCCCCAATTCTGCTTCTCCAGTAGGGTCCTTACTGTTCTCCGAGGGGGGGGCCGGGAGAGGAGGAGCCAGCGATGTGCACCAGCCGACAAAAGGTCAGTGACCCCATGGTCCCCAGAGAGCCCAGCCCTCACCCCCTGCAGGCCAGCTTCACTTCCTGGAGGGCAGCTGAGTCAACGGAGACATATCCCCTCTAGCCTCTCTGAGGTCCACCCCAGTACTTACCTCAGTGTGAAGGGCCACAGGCTTCCATTTCTTTCCCAAAGCCCAGTTGTCCCAATGACCTCCTTCCAGAACACAGGCCACAAAATAGGGATGCCTAGAAAGTATCTATTTCTCTGGTAGAGTCGCTAGGCAGCAGTGTAATATCCCCCCACCCCCCCACCCCTGTTTAACCATCAAATTCTGGAAGCCTGCTAGGTGTCAGCCCAGGGGGATTCTGGTTGGGAGATGTGGCATTTATAATATGTATGTATCACACGCATTGCCTAAATGAGCCTTCACGACCCCTTGCGGAAGGGCTCATTGCCCATGGTTTATAGATGAGGAAACTGACACTTGCCCGGGGACCAGCCCGCGGTCCTTTATCCTGCATCAGGGCTGCAGGTTTCAAACTCCTTTTTCCCCTGCCCTGAGGCTGCCTCTCTTAAGAGAATCTCTTCCCCAAGAAGTTTACAGGGCAGTGTAGCAACCCCTCAAGGAGCTCCTGTGGGTGCCAAGCCTTGGGGCTATCAAATCTCATTCTTTAGTACGGGCTGTTCTGTCAGCCTGGATTTCTGCCATCCCTGCCCTCTTCCCCAACCATTTGGTATCTCTTTCAGCTGACTCTTGAAAAAGCAGCTAGTCCTTCCACACTAGAAGTCTCCCCTGAACTCCCCCGGCAAACCCAGACGCTGCTTGGTGTCCCTTTGTCTACTCACCCATTATATCACTTGCCCCATGGCATCGTAACTGTCACTTTACCTGTTTGCCTCCCCCACTCAACTGAGCCTCCTGCTGACAGCGGACTTGGTATTTTCATTCGTATACCCCAGGTGCTTTACATAGCTCCTGGCACATATGTAGGCGTGTGCTCCACAAATTTATTTTAAATGGGTGAATGGGCTTTGTTCTCAAGGGGCTCATTGACGTTCTAACAAATAACCACAATAAAGGGTGGTACATGCAAAGTGTAGGGAAAGTGCAGACTTTGTGCAGAGGAGTTAATTTATTCATTGATCTAGAGAGAGAGGCAGCACACACACACAGAAAGTTACATCCCAGTGCAAGAGTCATTTATTTCTGGAATGGTTTGCAATTTATGAAGCCTCTAGATGCCCTAAGCCTTTCTAGATGCTCACAGCAACCTATGAGGTAGGCTGATGATTAGCGCCTTTGTCCGGGGAGGAAGCTGGGCTTTAGAGATGTTTGTTGCCTATTGGCCAAGGTCACAAATCTGGTGCAAGAGCCGGTATTAGTGCTCAGGTCTTCTTTCTCACATCACACTTCCTCTCAAGGGGGCAGCACAAGATGTTACTAGGCAGTAAGTGCCAAATGAGCAGAAGAGACAGCTGTAGCGCTAGAGGGTAGGGAGGGGCAAAGGGGGCTGGAGACCTTCCCAGAGGAGGGCTTTGAGCTGGGCCTGGAAGGAGGCAGCTGCTCTGTCCCTCATGGCCTTTAGAGATCCAGGACCACAACAACTGGTTTCTAGCCACATTCAGCTTGACTGGGGACATTTGAGGGGGGTTCACACTCCCCCACCGTGGGAGACAGACGAGCGATTACCCCCTCTTTCTGTACCAGGAACTGTTAGGAGCTATTCAAGCACTGCTGGGAATTGTAGTTCTGGGGTCGTACGCGGCGAGATGGGGGAGAGCGCCCCCTGCTGCTTCAGATCTCACTCCTCCCAGATCAGGTTTGTGCTCTTCTGAGCACCCTCAGCAGAGCAGCCCCCACACCCTTACCCTACAGAGTCCCCCCACCAATCCCTGGAGGTCCTGCTGCTCTTCTCCCCACTCAGGGGCTGTCTCTGTCCTTCCCAACATCCGGGGCTTTCTTGTTCATATTTATGCATCTCTTTTCTGTCACTCTCCTCCAATTCTTTCAAGCTCCCTCTGGCTGCTCCAAGCCTCTTTCTGTCTTTCGGCCTACCTGGGTCTCCGTCGGTGATGGGCATTGCAGCATGTGTGGACTCTGGCTCTAGAGTGGCTGGCTCTGCCTCCTGTCCTAGGAGACTGGAGCCAGAGCCTGGAGAAGTCGAGGAATGGCCTCATTTCTCCACTTTTCCTCGGCAGCCATGGTCCAGCCCCAAGCCTGCCTTTCTCCTTTTTACTGGCTTCTTTTGTTCTGTTCCAATCACTTTTTCACGTGATTGCCTTATTCTTTCCTTGCTTTCTGTTTGACTCTCTCTTTAATGATATTTTCTTTGACTGCAGTGAAGGTGAGGGAGTGGGAGGGGAGGCCTGGCTTCTGGGAAGGACTAGGACACATAGCAAACCCAAGGTCAAACACATTCCCTTTTCTGGTCCTTGAGCCCCCTGGCTCTTCCAGTGCCTGGGCAGCAGGCCTGGTTGCTATGGAAACTAGCAAGGCCCTGAGAAACCCTTGGCTTCCATTCCCTAGAGGTCTCTGTCCCCTCTTTCCTTGCTGGCCCTCTTCCCACCACCCATACCTGTCCCCTCCCAGCTTGCTCCTTGTCTTTATACAGATTATTTCCCCCTGTCATCTCGTGCTCCCTCACAGCTCTGAGCTTCATTTCCCTCCTGTCCCTGATTTTCTGTCTTTCTCCTTCTCTACATGGCCTCCCTCAGCATTGCCATTCTTCCCTACCTCCCCCTTCTTGTCTCTGCTTGACTCCTCTTTATTTTCTGACCCTTCACACGAAGCTCTAAGGTAGGCAGAGTAGGGTTCTGGCTGTCCTAAAGTTACCCATGCCCCACCAGCCTCGCTGCCCTGTGGCCTCAGGAAACCAGGCCTCACCAGCTGCAGTGAGTGCAGTGCCAGGCTCTGGGGCAGCAGCTGGTGCCTTGGCATCCGGAGGCAGTGAGAACTGAGCCTGTGGGCAGCCTGCCCGGAGGGAGAGAGTGGGGCTGTTGTACAGGGGAGAGACATCTGCAGGAGATGCACCCAGAGAGCCACCGCTTCCACATGTGGCGCCTGTGCCGTGGCCCGGCCCTCAGGAGGGGAGGCACTGCTTCGTCCTGGGCCTGGGGGCCCATGCTGAGAACCTCTCCTCTCCACCAAGGCCTTTTCCTGGCCGTCTTGTTCATCCCCCCATCTACCCTGCGAGGTGGGCGAACTGAGCTGTTGTGTGTTTTACTTGGGAGGAGAAGCGAGTCGCTGTCAGAGTCCAGGTCCTCTGCGCTCCCTTGATTCCACGTCCCACTTTCTCCCCTCTGTGTGGGTTTTGCTTCTTAAAGTATAGGGCTGGGACCCTTAACTTCCCTCCACCGAGCGGTTATCACCCACTTACAGAACGCTAACAATCCCTGAAGCACTCCCAGTTGTTTTTGCTTCCTTAAAAAGTGCCAGTGGGAGGAGCCTGCCCTTGCACTCTCGCCTCCTGCTGCCTCCTGGCACACAGGGGTCCCACAGCTGCCCTCTGGGGGCCCTCGGTTTTCTGCTAAAGGCCTGCTTGCGCTGTCCTCTCAGGCTGGACTAGGAAGTTGGGGGTTAGGGTGAGAGTGTGACAGCTGGCACAATGGCCACCTGTGGAAGCCCTGCCCAGTGCCACTGCTCCCTCGCCCACATCCTTGTCACCTGCATCTCCCTCCCATGTGTCTTCCTCCTGCTTCCCCTACCCCATTCTCCTCATCTGCTCATTGCTACAAAGCAGGCCTGCTAGTCCCATTCCATGTGGTGAGGGCTGCAACTGTTTCTGGGCACTGAGGATGGCCATCACCGGAGAAGAGGCAGGAGAGGGAGGTGGGCTGCATTCAGGAGACCCTTGGTGCCCCTGCCATGGGGAACACTCCAGGAAGAAGTCAGGTGCAGCTTCTTGTTCCTCTTCCACATCCTTTTGTTAAGGGGAGTGACTGATGGAGGGCTGGTTGGGGAGGAGACAGTGAGAATGTGGCCCTGTGGCAGCTTAATTGTCAGCTGTCAGTGTGAGAGCCACTTAGCAGCCTCCAGCATTGGAAAGAGATGTGGGGGAAGTTGACTTCTGACAGCAAAGACGGCAGGATCCAGAGAGAAGGACGGGGAGGGGAGAGAGCCTAAAATTTGCAGTTGGGATGGAGGGGTCTGGATGCCCAGCACCTGTGCCTGGGCTGCTGCAGGGGAGGTGGAGGCTCTGCAGTGCCTACCCCATTCAGCTATGTCCCGTTTCCCCACTGTGGCGTCCAGGCAAAGAGGAATTTGTGGCAACCTTCAAAGGAAATGAATTCTTCTGCTACGACCTGTCACACAACCCGATCCAGAGCAGCACGGATGAGATCACGCTAGCCTTCCGCACCCTGCAGCGAAACGGGCTGATGCTGCACACGGGCAAGTCGGCCGACTACGTCAACCTGTCCCTCAAGTCGGGGGCTGTCTGGCTTGTCATCAACCTGGGCTCAGGAGCCTTTGAGGCCCTTGTGGAACCCGTCAACGGCAAGTTCAACGACAACGCCTGGCACGACGTCCGGGTCACCCGAAACCTGCGCCAGGTAGGGGGAGCGAGAAGAAGGCCGGGGCTAGCGGAGTCTGGGGCAGAGTGGGAGTGGGAGTAGGGAGGGAGGGCTGCCTGAGGTGGGGATGTGAGGTGTCAGGGCTGGGCAGCAAGGCGAGCTTCTGAAGAAGACTGAGGCTTCGGGTGGGCTGTGAGGGTCCAGGGCTACGGCCGCAGCTGGCAGGCTTCGAGGACCAGGATGATGCGCTAGGGAGGAGGCTGCAGAGCTTGCTGGGAAAGGACCCTGAGGGAAGATGAAGGGCTGGGCTCAGACTGGTGGAAGTTGCTAGGGTTTCCAGGGCTGGGACTAAGAAATCAGGTGAGCTGGCAGGACAGCGGTTTGAGAGATGGGAGGAATGAGATGAAGCCTGAACAGGTGGGCCCTGGGGTACCGTGGGATGGTGAGCCTCTGGGCTGCTGGAGCAGGTATCCTGACAGTGGGGCAGAAAGGCACAGACGAAAACCTGGGGCATGTGGGGTGGGATGTGGTCAGTCCTCAGGTGGGGCCTTTCTGGGGCAGAGGCAGGGCTGAGGTCCAAGAAAGGTTGGGGCAGCAGATGCGAGAGGATGCTTGGTCCTGCCTCTCCCCTGGGAAGCACGCTCCCTCTCCTCTCCCTCCTTGTCCCTCCAAAGGGGGGCAGGCTCTCTCAGCAGTCCCTGGCTATCTCTCCGGGACTTCCAGGCTAGTCCATGTAGGAGCTGGAGGAGACTCTTGGGTTGGCCCCTGCAGGCAGGACAGATCTCTGCTCCTCCGTGTCCGCTCAGCTCCTGCTCCCAGACTCACCCATGCCCCTACCCCTGAGAGAGGATTATGTTTTTGGGCATCACAAGTCCCAGGGTGGCTATGGCAGGTGAGGCTCTGTCTGTCTCTGGCCCAGCTTCTGCTGGACAGCAGCCCCCACAGCTTGTTTCCAGCCCTGAGAAGTTCCTGCCTCAAGCAGAGTCTAAGTCAGACCCTTCTTCAAAAGCAGGAGAGGACACTGTGCATCCACAGTTGCTCCTGTCTCCGCCTCCTGACTCCTTTCCCTGCTTACTCGGCACCCAGGACCCTGGTGCCCCAGCTCTTGTGGTTCTTCTCTCCCTGGTCCATCACTTTCTCTTGTAGCTGGTGGCAGGGATGCTTTTCCAGCTGCATCCCCAGCAAGCTAAGTGTGACCAGGAACACGTAACATCCATGCCCTGGGAGGTGCTAAGTGGTTTGCAGCCCTTCTTTTACTGGGTGTTGTCTCTGTACTTCTGGTTCTAGCTGTGGGGTGGCTGGGCTTCCATTGTTCCCCTCTTCACCATCACCACCACTCTCCTTTTCCCCATCCTCCCACTGAAAGGCTCTCAGGGTGGGGGTGGGCGGGGGATGCCAGCTGAACTCACACTCTTCTTACTGGCTCTTCTTCAACCCATTGAGTGATGCTCTCACAGGGAGTCCTCCTCTTTTAGTGCCTTCCCTATGCTGGGAGGACACCGTGACTAATCTGCCTGCTCTTTCCAAGCCTACTGCTCCCTGTCATAGTTGGGTTCCTACCCAGGCACCTATTCTTAGTGCACCCCGTGCTCTGAAGAGTGACCCACCTCCTCAGGAAAGTGCCCCCTTCATGTCTCATCATCCCCTGACAGCCGGAGGGCTGTCCTGTGTTGTCTGTCACACTGTCTGAGCAAACCTGAGTGTGTGTGCTTTTGTCACAGTTTTAGGTGCCACATACATTTTGCTGTGGAGGGTGCAGAGTTGCCTTCCAGCGGGCGTTCCCTCCCCAGGACCAGTGCTGTCACCTGGTACTGCCTTTGGCAACATGCTGCAAGCCTGAGATCCCTATCCATGTGTCCTTTGGCCAATATGTCCATCTACATAGAGTACCGAGGGAAAAGAGACATGGTCCCTGCCCTCCCAGCCCTTCGGCTCTTGAGGAGACAAGATGAGCCTGTTAAAAGGGAACAGAGCAAAGCCATACAAGTGACAAGTGAGCAGCAGGAATCTTAAATGTTCTAGGAACTTAAGAGACACAGAGAGGAGGGAGAGATCTGTGACCACGGGAGGCCGGAAAGCCACACAGAGGGGCTGAGGCCTGGTCTTGGCAGCCCCGAGTGTGGACAGTGACATAGTAGCCTCTTCTTGGGGCTCACAGAGTCCTGGGTCCAAGCTGGTAACTGATGGAGACCACTTCCCCTTGGCCTGATGGGTCAGAGCAGAGGCAGGTCATGCTGACCCGAACATAGGCCTTTAGGGCCAAAGAGGGTATCTGCCTCAAGACTTTGATTGAGAATTGTCTGTTTAGAAAGGGTTTCTGGAGGGATTTATTAGCCTCCAGTCCACATCCATAGATGTGAGGTGCAGTCCTTTTCTGGTCATCGTGACCATTAGGGGGATGGAAGGGCAGCCCCAGGACTGTGCCCTGGATTCACTGCCCTCATTCAGGGCCTCGCCTGTGACCGAGTCCCCCTCACCAGGTCCTTTGAGTGCCTGTCTTTCAGAGCTTCTAATAATTTGTTGGATCCTGTTGTCCCTAGAGCAGTGGTTCTCAACCAAGGGCAGTGTGGCCCCCAGGAGACAAATGACTGGAAACAATTTGGGTTGTCACAACTTGGGGAGGGTGCTACTCGGTGTAGGTAGAGGCCAAGATGTTACTAAACATCCCACAGTGCACAGGACAGTCCCACAGCAAAGAATTATTCGGTTCCAAATATCAGTAGTGCCACAAACATGGCCTCATGGCATCCTTTTGTGATCTGAAGGGTGATGTTGAGAGTGGCCAGGAACAAGGACAGGGGTTAATGTAAGAAATGACATCTGCCTCTGCCTTTAGGGTCAGTGACTGGGATTGGAGGACACTGGGTTCCATATTGTTCCCCCAAGTGATTAGAATGACCCGGAGACTGCCTCCTGGGGACAGCCTCTTGATTCGACAGTTGTGAGGGCGGGACAAGAGGCCAGCTCCCAAGACCGGAAGGAGGCAGAATTTTGCCCCCTCCGCTGAACCAGATAATTATCCCTGGAATCATCAAGAGGCTCCTAGAACGTTGCAGTCAAAATCTGAGACCACCTGCCCACCATTCCCACCCTCTCACCCTTCTCTCCCTCTGAGCCCGGTCTTGAGGCCCCTGTGCCTGGTGGCGTCTCTTGGGGAATCTTTGCAGAAATGATTCTCTCTGAGGATTCCCGAGGCCTATTTTCAATCCTGGGCCCACTCTTCCCACACCCAGTGTGCCTCCCATCACCATATAAGCTGAGTGCCCACCCATTTTGTCACCAACCAGCACCAACTTTGGGAGACAAGCTCGCTTCTAAAACATCACGTGGAGCTTCCTCCTGCTCAGCTCCCATGAGGCCGCTCCTAGGTGGAGATATTCAGGAGCCCCCTTGGGCCCCAGGGAGGGAGTCCCCTAAGCCGTTCCCTCTCCCACCTCTGGCCCAGCCATCCTGAGTCTCTCTGTCTTGTCATGTGCCCTGTCTTAGGGCCTAACTGTGCAGCTTGGCATGCCCCGTCTACACTGGCTTCCCACAGTGTTCCTGCCGACACCACCATTCACCCCACTTCTGCCGGGTGAAACGCTAGAGCTGGTGTTTGAGTCAGACAGACTGAGTTCAAATCCCAGCTCTGCCACTAGTTCGAGTGACCTGAGGCAAGTTATGGAACCTCTCCGTGCAAAGTGAGAGGGGCCTTCGAGAACTAACTGAGGTGATGCCCGGTGCCTGGCGTCAGGTGAACAATGGAGGGCTTGCTGCTACCATCATGGTTAGTTGTGGGTTTTTCCCCAATCCTTCAAGGCCAGCTTAATTTCCACCTTCTTTGTAAGGCCCTCCTGGGTCCTCCCAGCCCCTGGCCAGTCTCCCTCCTTGCTGTGTTCAGGCCCTCTCCCCTCTTTCCATCTGTGTGGTCGATATTTGTGTTCACCTCTTTTCTCTACTTCTAGATGGTAAGCTCCTTGAGGGCTTAATACCAACAACTATTGAGTGTTTTTATTTGTTTTGCTAGTGGTTTGGCTGGTTCATTTGGGCTCTTTTTTGAAGCCAGTTGGTGAGGCTTTGGACACGAGGACCCAGCAGGCCTAATAATGGAACTACCTCTTGTCTTTTGGGAAAAACTCCTACTCACTTTACTTTCCCACTCCCTCCTCTGAATGTCCTCAGGACCTGTTCCTTTTTTCCAGCATGGCCCCTCCACTGGCCCCTGAGACCAGGGGTCTCCTTTCTATTTTGTATTTCACCGAACTTTTCTAACAGTCCTGTGAAGTGGGAGATAACTCCTGTTTCACCAACGAGGAATTGGAGACTTGGCAGGTGGAGGAGCTTGCCCACGCTGTACAGTTAGGACGTGGGAGGATGGGTGTCTGACTTCGAAGCCACTCCATTTCCCTGCTTCCAGGGAGGGCCTGGCTCTCGTCCTTGGTGCACAAGGCTAAGGTGCCTGTCGTTCGCCTCGTGGTGCCGCCATCCTTGGATGCTCCCAAATCTTGAACCATTGAATGTTCTGCTTGTCTCTTAGAAAAATGGGCCTCTCTTATCTCTGAGTGGAGCCTGCTCCACTTTCTGCTCTTTTCTTTATCCTGCGCTTCTCTCACTCAAGCTCTACAGAGATTGCCTTCTTCCAGATTTTTGTGATTTCTGTATCTAATCCCCCTCTTGGTATTCTTGAGAGACTGGAGCCACACTGAGAGTTCAAGGTGGAAGTGGGGTATAGTTTTGTCCAAAGGCACTTGGCCATGGTAGGTTAAGGTTACCTGCTGTAATGACTGGTATCTCCCCTCTGTGACTTGACGCCCTCCTCGCTGTCATTCTTGGGCTCCTGGACTCCAGGGGCCCTCCAGTTGCTTCAGTGGTGGGGAAAAGCCTTCCTTGCTTACCTGTTAGTCTGAAGCCTCAGATCTCCAGATCCCGGCCTTCGGGAAGGAGTGGGTTGCTGTGTCACAGGTGCCAGTATGGCTTCCAGTGGAGGCTCCACTCTAGTATTTGGCTGCAGTTGCCCCCTGGGGCATGGTTACCGTGGCCTGGTCTCTAGGTCTAGAGGGTCCCCATCTCACCCGCACCAACCTCGCTGTTTATTAGAGGAGGCCTGGATCTCTTCACACGTTAGTGGAAGGCCCAGGCTTTGAACTTAAATCTCTTCCCTCTCCGTATTATTTCTTAATTTGTTTTTCTGCTTATTAAACATTGAAGTTGTCTATGAAAGCTGAATACTCTTTTTTCCTTATTTTAGTCTCTGTGTCCAGTTCTAATTTAAAAAGAGTAGTGATTGGGTTTTTACCTCTAATGCCTTTTATTCCCTCCTACCTTGTTTGACTAGTGCAGTGATACCAGACAACTCTTACCTTTTTTGGTGCCGTGGGTTTAGCTGCCCTGGTGCTAATTGTTCCTTGTCCTGACTAGTTGACCTCTTCATTTCCTGTCAGTCCTACTAACCAATAGGACTAATCCTTGTACCACCCGTTATCCCCTGCTCCGGCCCCTGCACCTGCGGTTAGACTCTTGTCTTTCTCCTGTATAAACGGCTTCTGTATCACTAATAATTAATATTGGTTATTCAGCACTTCTAGCTGCTATATATTGAATTCTGTTGTTTTTAATTATACAAGGCTCTTATTAATTGTCTTACTGAATTAGTCCTGTGCCCACTGGTTATAATAACTCTCTAACTAATGGGTCTGTCCCTAGAATACCTCTCCTCACAATCACAATCTCGGGTGCACAGTTTAGCATTTAATGGACAGCAAGCTGTAGTGTCCCTGCATCTTTGATACTCTAAGTGAAGCTGCCTCAGCCTTTTGACATCTCCTCCCCAAAGACCAGGGTAATTTTGAAGGTGGTTGTTGCTGCCGTTTTTGACCCTGAGGGAAGAAAATGAACTTAGAGCCACAGGTGGGTGGGGCCTGAGTCTGGGGTAGAAGAAGCTGGCTTATAGTTCAGGGAGGGGTAAGAAACTTTAGAAGTAGGTGGGCCTCTGTGTTCATTTTTAGGGTGTGATATGTGGTGGAGGGTGAATTTCTGGTGCTGGCTGTGGGGAGTGGAGGCTCAGGGGTCTATGGGTGTGCCTGGGAGGAGGCCGGGCTGCTAGGAAAACCTGACCAGTTCCTGGGACTTGCAGGGGTGATGGTGAGGGTAGCTCATTCTGGGAGGAACAGCTGCCCAGAGGAGCATAAGAGAATGTGGGTGGGGTGATTGAGGGGGGAAGTTGGGGGGAAATGTGGGCTCTGAAAAGTCAAGTTAGGCAGGACAGACGAGTCAGCTATGGGTGGGAGAAGGGGGAGGGGAGGGGATGGGAAGGGGAGGGGAGAGTGTTTGGGATGATTAGATATGATATGAGAATAAACCCTCTGCCAGCCCATGGAGGGCAAAGTTTCTCTTTCACTGTTCTGGTGGTGACTTGCTCTCTCTTCCTTTCTCAAGGAAGGGAAACAAGGAAGAAAAAAAAAAGAGCTGCCCCTCCCCTCACCATGCCTCCTGGATCTATTTGCTATCCATCCCCAGGAAAAGCAGACACCTATATCCCTTTCTGTGCTCCTTGGGAACCCCTTCCCTTTGCCTCCAAATGAAATTGCCTCTCATTCTAGCCAGTCCTGTGATTCTCTAGGGGCCTTGGCCACTCTTCTCCTAGTCTGACAGCCAGCTGGCCCATCACCAACCAGTTAACCCATTAACTTAACATGGTCACTGGTCAGCCAGTTGGCCAGCACCAACTCACTCTTTAGCTGGTTCTCTGGAAAGCCATCTGGTTGAACAGTTAGCCAACAAGCCCATCCATTCATTACCTAAGTCAAGAGCCCATGCCTTTCTCACACTCCTGTTCTCCCTCCCTTCCCCTCAACTCCCTAACATTTCAGCCAATAGGACTTACTAATACTGCATAATTGGGTCTGCTTCTTAACCCCCTGCCTTCCCTCTCTCACCCTCTGTTGGAAAACCCCGTTGCCAACTCTGTGTGTGTTACTAACACGCTTATAACCCAAGGGACCAAGGGATGGGCAGGGACAGGTTGGGCAAGGTATGAGTGAAAACCGAACTAACCTTTCTGTCTCATCTGCGGAATGTCGCCATCTTTAAGTCTTTGCTTTCTTGGTCCAGTTCTTTTGTTGTTTTCTTCTCTACTAACCAAGGTCTTTAACTGTTCCCCTTCTCTGCAGCCGGCTCTTCTGGGAGGGGATGGGAGGTGGCGAGGAATCCAGAGGAGGGGTGGAGGGTGGGGATCGGAGGAAGGGATTTAATTTGTGTGTGTGTTTTATTTCTCCCTCCCATTATAATTTTAATTTTCTTTAAACAAAGTACTTCAGCTGAACCTAAGGTGGGAGGGTCTGAACAGACAACCAAATATATACGGATATATATTTTTCCTCCTTCCTTGAGTTTCACAGTTGGTCATTTTCTTTTCTTTTCTTTTCGTTCTGTTCTTTTGTTGTTGTCTTCGTTGTTTTTTTTTTTTGACCCTCCCACCCCCACCCCTCCCCCCCATATCTCCGGTGAAGCACGCAGGCATTGGACACGCTATGGTAAACAAACTGCATTATCTGGTAGATATCACTCTAATTGTCTTACCGTTTGGTTTGCCGTGGGTTTTTTTAACTGTTCGATTCTCCCTCTTTTGTTTCCCTTCCCTGTTTGGTTTTGGTTGTTTTGCTCTTCCAATTGTTTTTTGCGTCCTGAACAATCTTTAGATTTTGCTTCTTTCTCTTTTAGTTTTCCTCTTTCCCTTTCTTTCTTTTTTGGTCCAAACTCAAATCCAAAAGACAAATGGAAATCGAGGAATTTGGCCTATCCCTGCCCTAACCCCGGACTCCTGAATTCAGATTCCTTGCCAGAGCGACCTGGGGCAGGCCCCAAGTTCATCGGCTCTGGTTAGACCAGCCCCGATGCTAGGCTGCTTATTTTGATTGCTTTATTTTGTTCCTTTTCTGCCCCTGCCCCTCGTTTTTATTCTTTAATTTAGTTTCTTTCTTGGTCTCCTGAAAATCCATGGAAAACACCATCTCATGACATGCTACGCTATGCTCAGTGTCAGCTCCCGCACAGGCCCCTCGAGTTGAGGGAGGGGGCTGGGAGTGAGGCCTCCAGTGGCAGCCAGCTTGACAGGTTGCAGGAGTGGGTGGCCGTGGGGGGATACAGAGCTGTCTGGAACTAGTCCAGAGCTCCTTCAAATCACCGTTGATACCAGTTTGGGGGCTGCCCCAGGCTGGCTGCCAGGGAAGAGGTGGCATCTCCTCCCTCACTTCTCAGCCGTGAGGGTTCCTGGTTCTGTCTCCCCCCACATCTTGCATGGCATGAATGGTCTTCTCCCCCGACCAGGGACAGCGTCCAGTTTCCCCCGCCGCTCTGCTGCTCTGACTAACACTGTGTCTCACACTGTCTTCCTTCCCCTCCATCTTCTGTCCCCTCTCTGCCTCCTGCCTGTCCCGCATGGCCTATGATGGGGGGTTGGTTTCCTTCCTTGTTGAGGGGGTGAGAGGAGGAGGCCCAGCCAGGGTGAAGTTGGGGTAGTTGTCGCCAAGCTCCCCTGTTTGGGTTGGGCTCAGTTCCGGTGAATGTTGGTGTGGGTGTCTGTATAAATGCAGCTGGTGTGTGTTGGTGTGTGGGTGCGACTGTGTGTAAATGTTGGTGTGCCATTTAGGGGGTGTTAGTGGGAGACCGTACTGTGTGTTTGTGAGGCTCTGCTGGTGATTCTACAAGGGTAAAAGCTGGTGTGAGCTGGGAGCAGTGTGACTGTCTTTGAGCTGGTGAGGGCTCTTGGGAGATGGACTGTGAAGCGGTGGTGGGCAGGAGCAGGGGAGGAGCTGAGGCTGGCCCTTTGCTCCTCGCCTTGCCCTGGAGTGTGTGCCTGCAGGCCCTGCTGTGTGCTATCCCCTGGGATTCCCTCCTGCCTGCTTGGTCCTGGCTCTGCGGCAGCCGGCGGTTAGTCATCGCCTATTAATAATGCAGCGTGATTGAGCACCAGGCTGGGGACCCTGCAGATGGACGTGTCTGCTCCCACAGGGCCCACGCTGCCTGGGGCAGGTGCCTGGCCTTCCCAGCCTCCCAGGACTGCGTAGCTGCCTGGCTGTAGAGGAGTGAAGCCTGGCAGCTGGGGCTCCCAATCTGAGAGGCTCCCCCACCTCCCCAAGAGACTCCATCTCTGAGGCCATGTCTTGCCTGTCCCGATGCTTTCCCAGGTCTGTGTTTCCCTGCACCCACAGACTTGTGGTAGCCCTGTCCTTTGCCCTGTCTCCAAAATAATGCCCATGGCCATGGCCATCCTAGCCCTCCCCCATCCAAGATCTAATCTGGCCACTCCATCATCCTGGTGTTCAAATGCAGCCAGGTGGCAGCCCCAACACCACCCCTCCACAGGCTTTGTTCTCCTCTGCGGCTTCTAGGAGTCTGCTGCTGCTCACCCCTCAGGCCAGGCCACTCAGAGCCTGTCAGGAGCTGGGCCTTTAGAACTCGTCCTTTACAGAGCTTCGCTGGACAGGCGACCTGTGATTCTGGGGACAGAAGGGAGGCAAGATAAACCCAACCACCAAGCATGCCTTCTGAGAATAGGGCCCTGCAGATCTTTCTTCTAGTTTCAGTTTGTTAAGAACTGTGTGAACTGGAGCTAAAGTTGTCTCCTTAGCTACCAAACAGGCTGCTGATATACCTGTGTTGATATTTCATGGGGTTAGCGTAAAGATCAAGGAGCGGAACGGAAGTGAAAGCGTCTGTACTCTGTAAAGGGAATTATAATTGTATTAAGCTTTATCATGTGTTAACTGATTATCTCAGGGTTTCCAGGGCAGGGATGCTTCGTAGAGAAGTGATCCCTTTTCCATAGCAAGCCCTGGAGAATACAGCATCTCTGGCCCCACTAGAGATCCTATTACTGTCCTTTCTTGGAAATCAGTCCCAAAATAACTACAAGAAACCCCAGACTGCCTCAGGAATTGGGCCTGGGGAGGAGGAGGAAAGATGGAATGACCTGGTTAAGTTGGTCAAGAAACAAACAACCCTGTCTGCTTTCAACGCTGGCAAAGAAAGTCCCTATTAAAGTCTCGGAGGTCCACACTTTCTGATGCGAGCATCACTGCTTGATGATCAGAGCTGGTGCCCCTTGGTGGCCTGAGTCGCGTCATAAACTCTTAGAATCCTGTCCCAGGAATCAGCTCTTTCAGGCCAAGACTGGAGTCAGAGAACCCGGCACCAAAAGAGATGGGATTCAATGGCTCTGATTCCCAGGCATCCTTGGGAATTCTTTTTACTAACTCATTTATATAAACTCTTGTTATTGGAGTATTTCTCCTTAGCGGGGAGGGTGGATACAGACCAAAAAGGCCAACCAGTGGAGCAGTTTGGGCTAGGTGTGGTCAAGCTGATGGGAATGTTCTCTGCACATAACACTGGGGGCTTTGGTTTTCCTAAGTAGCTGTCACCTTTTGAATATCATTTAAACTCGATGAATGCCCAGATAGCAGTCAGAGATTATTCCCAGTTAACAGATGGGGAAACTGAGGCCTGAGAAGGCCTGCGGTCGCATAGGAAGTAATGGAAGAGTTCAGTGCTTTCACTTCAGTTATCTCATTTGATCCTCATAGTAAGCCTGGGAGAAGTGGGAGTGATGGAAGTTGTTAAACCTCTTTTATAGACCAGAGTCAGAGAGGTAAAATGAGATTGTTCTGGAAGATGATAAAGGCCAAAGGAGATCCTAGGAGTTCTGACCTGAAGTTTCTATTCCTAAACTTTATCAAATCCAGTTGTCAGGTACAGCTTAGTGGTAGAGTGCATGTTTAGCATGTACAGTTTCTGGGTTCAATCCCCAGTACTTCCACTAAAAAAGGTAAAATTCACCACGGGGCTGTTACTGCTGGCTAGGTCATCTTTCTGGATGTCTTTCCAACCTGTTTCCCTCTTTAGCTTCTCCCCACCCCAAACAATGGCTAAACTCACACATAACAGGGCTGAACATCCTCCTTCTGCCGTCCTCCCCATCTTCATGTCCTACTCCCACCCCCTACTTTTAAGGGCAGGCCAGCACCTTCTTCCTAAACTAGTTGTTCTTAACCATCTTTGGCTCATGAAGTCCTCTGAGAATTTGGTGACAGCAGTGGACTCTCACAAGAAAAAGAATGTCCACTGAAGCAGTTTGCATATAATGTTAAGGGTTTTGTGACTCTCCAAAGCCTGTCTAGCCTACTTACAAGTTAAAAACACCTGCCCACAATCTTACTTTCCCCCAATCATCCCCCCCTCGGGGAAGTCAGTGACCCTGTGATCATAGCAGGGAGCTGGGATAGGCTCCGGACAAGGCCAGAGCCTCTTCCCCAGGCTTTCCCCTTGGGGTGTGGTGGGCATGGAGTGCCCATGTGGGGATATTTGTGGCCAGGACCTGGTTTCACATCCTACCAGCCTGCCTAACGGGGAGATGAGCAGAGCAGAAGAGAGGTGGGGCCAGCAGGGAGGGTTGAGAGCCCACCCAGCTCATAGGCTGCCCCTTTCAGCCACCTCCAGCCACCCGCCCCTCTCCTGAGGAGTGGAGCTGAGGCTGAGCGCTGGGCTCCTGTGTCTTCTGTGCTCCTTCCCCTCTCCGCTGGCTGGGCATGGCTCTTCTGGGGCAGAGCTGTGGCTCATTCCTCTTGTCCTACTCAGTCCCACTCAGGGCCTGGTCTGATTGTGTTGAGTGGATTGGCGTGGGTTGGGTGCAGAGTTTCTGCTGAGTCCTGGGGTGCTAGCTGCGGTACTGATGACAAAAAGGATGCTGCTTGGAGATGAGCCCCAAACTCCCTCCCACTGCCTTCACTAGGATGTGGTGTGTGAGTGGGTGTGTCTGGGGTCAGTGATCAGTGGTGAATGGGCGGTGGGAGTGAGCATCTGGGTCACCCTCTGGTAAGGAAGGTCTAAGTCTAATGTCCCTTCCCTTTCCTTCTCAACCCGTACATGTCTCTGTCTTAGTGATGGCTCCTCTTCCCTCCTCCGTTGAAAGGAAGCTTCTCCTTCCTGCACCCTTATGGCTCTTTTGCCTCCATCTCTGCTCTTCCCTACGTCCCCTGGCCCTGCATGCCTTCCCACCTGTGGCTGCCTTTTTCTCACCTCTCCTGCTGGGCTGGGCCCCCCACCCTGGCTCTCTAACCCGCACGTGTCCTAGCTGCAGTGGCTGTTCTGTGTCGCATGACCCCCTCTGCCCTCTTCCCCTGCTGGCCCCACCCCTTCCAGAAGCTGCGCGGGGGGGTAGGGGGGCAGGGGCATCACAAACCCCTGGGGTGGAGGGGGACCGGGGGAATTATTCCCCTGTTTCCTGCTTTTACTAACGAACCTGCCATTTTTGTGTCTGGATTTTGATTTGTCTGAGGAAACAGTCGGGTTTTACTAATCTCAATCATCTCCCTCCTTGCGTTCCCCAGAGACCTTCCTCCATTCCCCCTACCCTTGGCTTCCTTTCCACCCAGTGCCCATCTCCCCCTTTCTCTCTCTCCTTCCTCTACCCCAAGGATGAGCCCCCCTTCCTCTGTGCACTTCCTTATGATACCCTGCCTCCTGCTACCCTCTCCTTACTCTCTAGGCCAGGGTGGCTCTAAAAAATAGAGACAGATACAAAAGGTATTAAGGCACCATGTAGTGGTGATTTGCATAAAGCAGAGGTGGGCAAGATCAGATTTGTGTCCAGTCTGGAGAGGAGTTGAGGACGGGCCCCCCAAGTCAGGTCCTTCTAACTCTGAGGGCAGAGGTAGGAGTGGGTTGAACAGATTGGCCAAAGAGCCCATAGGGTGAGGAAGATGCCAGTAGCTGGTGCCCTGGCCTCTGGGACCCAGGTTGAGAGGACAGCTGAGTGGCTCAGGCAAGCTGGAAGGCTGAGCACATGTATGGAGGTGAGGAGGAGCCTCTTCCTGGGGAGCTGTGGGGCCGGGAGGGCCCTGCCCATGCACAGGAGCACGGAAATCCTATAAGCAGTCTTGGAGGACTGAGATTCTGTCCACCAAACTGCGTTCATAGATTGGACACAGGCAGAGGGAGCCAAGTGTTGCCCTGGGTCGCCAGGTGACATTCACTTTAATGACTGTGACGTGTCCCCTAGACTGTGCTGGTGTTAGTAGGGTTATAGGCTGGGGGCCCGCCCTTCAGGAGCTGACTGTCTAGCTGGGGTGACCAGACAGGCTCAGGAGCTAGTCAGTGGCCCTGTTTCTGGTCTCTCAGTGAAGCACCAGGAATGGAGGTGGAGGGCGGGATGGAGGCCCCTTCTCCCTGCCGCCCCTCCCTGTCTGACCCCGACTCCTGTGTCCCAGCCCCCCTCTGCCCTTTCTCCAGCCCCCTTCTGCAGCCCTCTTCTGCCCATTCTAATCTTGTCTGCATGTTTTTGTGACTAATACTTTGACCCTTTCCTTTTCCACCCGGATCTCCACTTCCTAGCCTCGGGTTAGGTGGAGGGAAGAAGAAATAAACAATAATGACCAATCCTCCCCTCAAAACAAGACTCAAAGGCTTCAAACTGCCCATTTCCACAGACACCCCTTTACCGCTGTCCTTGAACCTAGTCGCCCCAGCACAAGGTTTGATGGTTCCCAGGAGGGGGCCCCTTGAGCCCTCGCTTTGCTCAGCCCCACTGCATGCGTTGTGAGGCTCCAACCCAGCACGAGGGAGACTCGAGGGTCCTATGGGGGAAGTTTCCCTTGCCTCTGTTCTGCCCATGTCCCTTCGGAGTTCCTAACTCCCTGTCTCCGCCCCCACGACAGTGAAACCCTGGAGACCAGTCACCGGAAAATGGCTGGTGGCGTGTGCGCATGGACTGGTGTGGTGGGGACATCAAGAGCTGTGATTGGAAGGCCCCAATCTCCAGACTTTGCCTGAAGAAGGAGTGCTGAGGCATATTTGCGGAGTGGGAAGTGGGGTGAGCTGTGGCCTGTGGAAGCACAGTGTTGGGTTCACCATGAGCCAGCTTCCTGAGGCCCCTGCAGGAGCCCGATCGTCCTAATCCACGGCCTTCCCAGAGTGGGGGCTTGTGGTTCCCCAGCCCTTGGCTCTTCCCCTACAACCAGGCTGGGTGTCTGGAGCCCTTGTGGGATGCTCCAGTGGCTAGACTTTTCAGGGGCAAGGTGGATATTTTCCCGGGGAGCAGGGAATCACGGAGTTCCCTGTGTCACTGTCCCCCAAGGTCATGTCTGCTTTCCCTCAGCCACTACTGAGTCTCTTTCACCTCCTTGGAACTCCAGGTATGGCCCCAACCCTACCCGTCTTGCTCTCTCACCTGCCTTTTCAGCCCAGGGTCAAGGCAACATGAGGTTAGCCCTGTTCCCCTCTCTTCCCTAACCTTGCCCTGACTTCCTGGCATAATGATGGTGTTGTCCATGGGGAAGACAATGAAGAAAGGAAGGCAGGCTGATGAGTAGGCCAATGGCTGCCATCTCCTTGGGAGACAAGAGAGTGACCCAAATACAGAGGGACGTGGAGAGTAAAGAGACAGGCTCAGCCAGAGAGCTAGGACAAGCGGGAACCTCCAGTTAAGGTGGTAGTGGTGGGAATCAGCCCTGAAGGGCGTTATGCATCCCCCAAGAAGTTCCAAAACTCCCTAATTCCTGTTCCTCATGCCTCTGCTATCCTCCGCCTCCCCACTGGCTAAGATTGAAAGGACTCCTTGGCGCCCTGAAAGGAGAGCTGCAGGGGAGTGGAAGCCACCAAGATCCCAGGAGAATTGGTGTTCTCTGTCTCGTTTAGGACAGACACTTTGAAATCACATGTGGGTCCAGAGACCCTCCTTCAAGAAGAGGGAAACGAGGGTGCCATTTTCATCCCCCCATAACGAGGCCCTCCCTGGGGCGCCCACTCCCATGCAGAGCCACTTCCAGGAACTGCTTCGTGGTTGTGAGCACTTCGAGTGCCCTTCAGGCCTCTGCCTGCTGAGCTGGGCTGTGGGGCAGGCCTCAGCCCACCCTGAAACCATCAAATCTTGTGCTACCTCCTTCTCCGCATTTCCTCTCTCCCCCCACTGTTCCTCCTCCAAGACAAGCAGACATAAAAATGGGGGTCCCCCTCCCCTGCTGCCCCCTGGCCCCTCCTTTGCCCAGCCCGTGGCTCTTCCCAGGGAGTTGATGCCGGTTGTCTCCTTGTCTCTCCCCCTCCCTCCCTGGGCTGGGCAGGTGACCATCTCGGTGGACGGGATCCTGACCACCACAGGCTACACTCAGGAGGATTACACCATGCTGGGCTCTGACGACTTCTTCTACATTGGGGGCAGCCCCAACACGGCGGACCTGCCGGGCTCGCCCGTCAGCAACAACTTCATGGGCTGCCTCAAGGACGTGAGTAGGGCCAGGGGTGCTGGGGGCAGCCCGGGAACGCTGCTTCGGTGTGATTTGCTCTGACCTGGCCAGCTGCCTGCAGCCTCTGTTCCTTCCAGTCCATGGTGGGAGACCCCCCTCTCTTCAAAACCCCAAGGCCCACTGACTCCGGCAAGAGGCTTCTCCTCTCTCGTTTCCTTGAGCCCCAAAGGGTCCCATCCTCTCAGAGGACCCTTGTGGCAGCTGGGGTCCAGAGGGAAGAGTGGTGGACATGAAAACTAAAGACCTGTGTTTGCATCCCAGCTCTTCCACTCACTAGCTCTGTGACCGTGGCCGGGACCCTTGAGCTGTCTGACTCTTAGTTTCCTTGTTTGTAAAATGAGTGATCAGTACCTGCTTCTCAAGGTGACCGTGAGGAGCAGATGAGAATGCAAATGGGAACCAAATGTTAGTGGTGATCGTCTTGCTGTTCTTATGAACTGCAATTCAGCGGCATGAGGGCCGTCGTGCTCTTGCTGGGCAGGGAGACAGGGCAGGGAGGTAAGTGGAGCAAGGGAGGTGCTGTTCACAGCCTCTGAGTGTGCAGTTCTAGAACAGTGGTCTGGTGTGCTGAGCAGGGGCCCCAGGGCTGGGTGGCAAGGTCCTGCGGTGCTGGCTACGGTGGGGCAGGAGTGGCCGGGCCCTAAGCTGCCCTCTTTTCTTCATCCTGGACCCCCACCACCCGCCCCTCCCTGCAGGTGGTCTATAAGAATAATGACTTCAAGCTGGAACTATCCCGCCTGGCAAAGGAAGGCGACCCCAAGATGAAGCTGCAGGGGGACCTGTCATTCCGCTGTGAGGATGTGGCTGCCCTGGACCCCGTGACCTTTGAGAGTCCCGAGGCCTTTGTGGCATTGCCCCGTTGGAGCGCCAAGCGCACTGGCTCCATCTCCCTGGACTTCCGCACCACCGAGCCCAATGGGCTGCTGCTCTTCAGCCAGGGCCGGCGGGCTGGGGCTGGGGCCGGCAGCCACAGCACTGCCCAGCGGGCTGACTACTTTGCAATGGAACTATTGGACGGCTACCTCTACCTTCTGCTGGACATGGGCTCTGGGGGCATCAAGCTGCGGGCATCCAGCCGCAAGGTCAATGATGGCGAGTGGTGCCACGTGGACTTCCAGAGGGATGGGCGCAAAGGTCAGGAGGCCTCTGGACCCTTCCCCTTTCCCCTGGCCACCCCTCTCCACCCACCCTGACAGTCTCTTCGGCTGTTTTCCTTACCCTCCTTCTGGCCCTCTGTGGTCCCTGCTGCCACAGTGCCTTGGTGGAAAGAACGTAGCCTTTGGAGTCAGTCAGACCTAGGCTCACATCTCAGTGCTCTCACTTCCTGCGTGTGTGACCTTAGGCCATCTCTCAGCCCCTTGTAGCCTCAGTTTTCTTCCCTATAAAAGGGATCATTAAACTGTGGTCATCAAGAGTGAAAAATAAGACAACCACTGCAGAAGCATTAGCACTGTGCCTAACAGTGGATATCCCGTTCTTCTTTAAAAAAAAAATCTTCCCAACCTTTCCTCCCTTCTGTCTAGAGCCATTCAATTTTATTAACTCACTCATTAGTCAGTGAGCGCCTACTGTGTGCCAGGCGCTGTCCAAGGGGCGGCGGTGAGCCAGAGTCTGCTGTCAAGGAGCTTGGTGGGGAGACACAGACAGTAAACACCAATGCTCTGCCTGGGGAGGTTTCTTGCACAACAGAGCAGCAGGACAGAGGGTGCTGGGGTCGGGCAAGTGCTATTCTTGAACCTTCCACTGCTTTAGTCATCCCTCCTCCACTCTTCCTTTTCAGTCTTCCTTTCCCATCCTCTTCTTGTTTTCTTCCTAATTCTTTTTTTCACTCTTCTCCATCTTGTTGGACACGAGAGATAGAATTGATATAAATGAGAACTGGCACATTATCCAATTTAAGCACTCATCAACGTCAGCTAAATTTCCATGCTCCTCCAGCTGTCACTGCATGGGGCCTTGATGTCTGGGTAGAGCGACCGTTCCCCATGCACACAGGGAGGATGGGGGTTTCCAGGGCTCCCGGAAGCGTTGGCCTCTCATGGACTTGCTGTTTCTTCCTCTCCCTTCCTTAGAAGTGTCGCCTTCCCCAGGCTTTGTGGCAAATGGGTTTGTCCCCTAGTTTTGTCTCAATGGTACCAGGGGTCTTCACCGAGCATTCATCGCCTCCCAGGATTTCCACCCAGGGGATCTGTAACTCTCTAGGTTGGAAATCTGCTCAGGCCTTCCAGAGAACCCCAGGCTCTTCTGCTCCTCTCTGCCTTCAGAAAGTGATCTCCTTAGCCTCGCTTGATCTCCAGAGCCCACATACCAGGCCCACAATCACTTGTGTACACCAGCACAGACTTGGGGCAGTCATTCTAACAAAGTTCCCTTTGACCTTTCCCATATTTTAAAATTTTATTGTGGTCATTTATACATAGCATAAAATTCACCATTTTAATCATGCTTAAGTGCACAGTTCAGTGGTGTTAAGGATATTCACAGTGTTGTACAATCATCACCATTATCCATCCCCAGAACATTGTCATCTTCCCAAACTGAAACTCTGTCCCTATTAAACACTGACCTCCCATTACCCCTCCCCACTTTCTGTCTCTGAATTTCCTACTCTGGGTACCTCCTATAAGTAGAATGATACAATATTTGTCCTTTTGTGTGTAGCTTATTTCACTTAACATAATGTCCTCAAGGTTCATCCACATTATAGCATGTGTCAGCATTTATTTCCTTTTTCATGGCTGAATAATATTCTGCTGTATGGCCAGATCACATTTTGTTTATCCATTCATCTGTCACTGGACACTTGAGTTGTTTCCTTTACATGTTTTACAGTGACCTTGAAACAAGACCTGTATTCACTTTAATTTCCTCTTGCTGACTCTCATTATACACTCTTTTCCTGCCATGTTCTTCCTCCACCTCCCTCCTCCCACATTCTGTTCATTTGTGGAGGGTCTGATTGGGTGGTGTCCATGTCCAGAAGGCCCCCAAACGGTGGGTGGAGCAGGCATCTAGGGAATCTGCTGCAAATAGAGGTGTGGTTGATCAGGGGCCATGTTTAGGGACCTGGAGTGGGGGTCTGACACCTTGTCAGGGGAGGACAAGCCAGGGATCATAGTGTTGAAATGGGGCACAGGAGAAGGGCCTCTTTGGCTCAGGGAAGGTTTTGCACAGAGGAGAACATGTTCCAGATAAGGAGCTGCATCAGTAGAGGAGGCCCTGGTCCCTCCCCTCCAGTTCCACACTTAGTGCCCACGCTCTGATCTCCTGCCCTCTCCACCCCCCATCTCTGCCCAGTCAGGCCTCTAGAGACCAGACCATCATTACCTCTCTAGCTGCCCTGAGATAGGTGGACTTTTTATTTTTTAAAGAATATTTGCAAACTTAAGAAAGGAGAGAGAAAGGAGAAAGGCAGAATAAAAATTACAAACACAATAACACTTCTAACATATAGGTTTTGGCTTCTTAAGATCTCAGGAAAGGCTTTGAAGCGCCCATCTGATCCCCAATTTTCTTCTTAAGATAACCAGCTTTTCCTTCCAAAGAACTCTCGCAACTCAGATACTCTGTGCCTGGCTTCCCTTTCCTGTCTGCTGTCCTGTCTCACAGGCTTCAGGAGCTTCCCATCTTGTCCACCAGCCACAAAGGGTCTCCAGGCCTGGGGGTGGAAGTTGCAGGCTCTGGGGTCCTGCCACCTGGATGGCACTTTGGTTCTACTCCTACTCACTGTGGCACTTTGAGCAGCTTCCCCAGTCTCTCCAAGCATTGTCTGCCATTTCAAAATGGGATCGTAAAAGACCAATTTCATAGGGTTACTGTGAGACTTAAGTGTTACAATATATGCAAAGTGCTAAGTGCCTGGAGTACAGTCATAAAAGCTCCATAAATGTCAGTGGGGGAAACCTTTTGGGTTGAAGCCTTGCAGCCTCCTTAGGGGCCTCTGCTTCTGGCTCCTGGTCTGAGGGACTGGCTGGGGGAAGGACACAGGAATGATCTGGCCCTTTTGGGGCATGTCCACTTCCTGTACATCCTCCGAGGACTTGCTCACGTGGGAAGGAGGAGTCTGGATGAAGGCCCACCTCACACTGCAGCTGGGCTGGGGCTGGCTCGCTCCGGTCCCTGAACTTGGGACCTTTGTCAAGCAGCCGGTGAGTGAGACTGAACTTCTGGCCCAGGGCCACCGCAGGGTTTGAGGGCAGGACATTATTTTCTGGCCTGCCTTCCCCACTGAGGACCACTCTCTCTTGATCTCCAGGCTCCATCTCAGTGAACAGCCGCAGCACGCCATTCTTGGCTACGGGAGAGAGCGAGATTCTGGACCTGGAGAGTGAGCTCTACCTTGGCGGTCTCCCCGAAGGCGGGCGGGTGGACCTGCCCCTGCCCCCGGAAGTGTGGACGGCGGCACTCAGGGCTGGTTACGTGGGCTGCGTGCGGGACCTCTTCATAGACGGTCGGAGCCGAGACCTCCGGAGCCTGGCTGAGGCACAGGGGGCTGTGGGCGTTGCTCCGTTCTGCTCCCGGGAGACGCTGAAGCAGTGTGCCTCGGCTCCCTGCCGCAACGGGGGAATCTGTCGAGAGGGCTGGAACCGCTTCGTCTGTGACTGCATCGGGACCGGCTTTCTGGGGCGGGTCTGCGAGAGAGGTGAGGCTGGTCTTCATGCCCCATGTCCCCACTGTCCATCCCTGTGCCCCCTTCCTCCTCGGCGTCCCCTCCTAGACCAGCCCTGGGCCTGTCGTCCTTGTAATGATTCTCTTGGTCTTCTTTCTCCCTCTATTGGCCTCTGCCTGTCCCCCACTGCTTCCTTCCCCGACTCCTGGGGCAGAGGCTACGGTCCTGAGCTATGATGGCTCCATGTACATGAAGATCATGCTGCCAAACGCCATGCACACGGAGGCGGAGGACGTGTCTCTGCGCTTCATGTCCCAGCGGGCCTACGGGCTCATGATGGCCACCACCTCCAGGGAGTCAGCTGACACCCTGCGCCTGGAGCTGGACGGGGGCCAGATGAAGCTCACCGTTAACCTCGGTAACCACCCTGCCGTGCCCCGGCCCCTTCCCTGACCTGCCTCTGACCCACACCCCTCTCTGTCTGGAGAAGTTGGTGGTGGTGCCAGTGAGAGTTTGGAGGTGATGGGGGTGCCAGCCTGGGTCAGAGCCCCTGAGAACTCTGTCCTGGCGAGGACACATGGTATATAGGATGATGCCTCGAGCTCAGCAGCACGGTGGGGAGGGGAACCCCGAGTGTGTCTGGAGTGTGACAACCACCCCCTGGGGCTTTCCGGGGTTTTGGAGGCATCTGTTCTGCACACACGTAAGGACATAGTTCATTCCTAGTTGTTGGCTCATCCACTTGCTCATACGTTGTTTCATTCATTCGAGAAGCACTCACAGACGCCTACTGGTGCTCAGTGCAGCGGCAGATCCCGAGACGAGGAGGATCTGGCCCCGCACACAGCTGCCTTTGTCTGCTCTGCATTCAAAGAGCTGAGTCTGTGTGTGCACTTGCACGTAGGTGCATAAGAGGACGCATTGGGACATGCCATTTTCCCCTTGTCTGCTCTTACGCGTGTCCCCAGAGCTGCCCCTGTTTTATAGATTATGAAATCCATATCCTGACCTATCCAACATCACAAAGATAGTGATGGTTGGGAAGGGGCCCGGACTCAAACCCAGGCCATTTGCCCTAAAGTTCAGTGCTTTCCTTATTGCCTCTAACAGAGCCAGGGTGTGCAGGCGCCTCTGAGGCCCTTGCCATCAGATGGCTGCGTGCCTCTGCCCTGGCCCAGAGCAGGTGTAGCTCCACCTCCCCTGGCAGTCCCTGGGGCGTCAGTGACTGTGGGGCCGTGAGAACTGTTGGGCTCTGTGTGCTTCAGCTCTCATGGGCAAGGTCAACAGGAAAACAGCAGAGTCACTCACTCAGCTAATGTTTATCGGACACACCTTGTAAGTGCCAGTGTGTTCTGAGCCTGGGGCTACAGTAGTGAATAAGACGAGGGCCCCACCATTCTGCACAGGGAACACTGGAATTCGGGGTCCTGAGCTGTCCAGCCTGGGGTCACATCTGTCCATTTCAGACTAGTCTCTGAGCCTACAGAAGTGTGGCATTGCTGGGCCATCCTGTAGGAAGAAGGCCATTGGGGTTGCTTGTTTTGTCCTGGGCTTAGAGGAGAAGTCGGGCACTTCTGAGCAGATTAGAATCCTCACCTGGAAAGAACGCAGAGCTTTGGGCTTTAACTATTTATCTGGAGTCTCATCTTCACATCAGTCTCCAGTGCATTTGTGGGATAGACTGTGGCTTTTGGGGAACCCCTTACCTCACTAATAAATTTATACGCCATCCTTTCTCCTTTTGGCCACCTGGCCTTTATACCTTTAGGACAAGGATTTGCCGAGGGAGGCAGGGGCTAGAGGTGGGGAGGTGTGCAGGCGGCCAGGGCCTCAGAGGTGGAGAACTTTAGGGTTCCCTGAAGCCCTGCTTCTGACCACGATCACAGCCTACAGAGTGGGAGGTGGGCGGCAGTGCTGCAGGGTGAAGTGGGATGGGACACACCCTTTGGCCAGTGCTCTATGGGCCTGTACAACATCTATGTCTGTACAACATCCCCTGGCACCCCTGAAACAGTCACAGGAAGAAGGCAGCAGCCCAGGACCCCATAGATAGCCCGCTGCTTCTCAGACTGCTCAGGTCTGTGTACCCAGTGTGAGATACCCCTTTCACCCTGGGACGTGTGTTCTCTGCCTGGTAAGCATGTGGTTCTGTACTTGTACAGGGGAAATCTGGGGCCTTTTATTTGCAAGGAAAATACAAATGCTCCTTCCTCATTTGGGCTGTCTTAGGTTCCCTGCGAAGAAGTTTGGGTTCCTTTAGATTGGACAGGAAGCAGCAGTCTCCGCCAGAATGGTACAACCTGGTGGGCCCTTGGGCCCTTTCACCCTCAGGATCTACCCTTTCCTTCCCATATGTGCTTTTCTGTCCGTGCCACATCAGTATATAGAAGTTAGGGAGCAAGGTGGCCAGCAGGACAGCCCTCTCACCCACCTCTCAAGCCTGCCCCCATCCACAGAAACACCGTGTCTAACGGCTCATCACAAGCTGTGACCCAGTGTTTGGTACTGATGCAAATGTCCATAAATACCAAATGATGTGTACAGGGAGGTATGTGGCCGCTGTGTGATCCACACAGACGCTCAACAGGTGGCCCACACCCAGTCACCAAACCTCAGGCTACAGGGAAGACTATTGGGTCTGGGGCCAGAAAATCTGGGTCCTAGCCCTGGTCTCCTTGATGGCTGGGAAAATCATTTCCCCTCTCTGAGCCTTTGTTTTTTCAATCTGTAAAATGAGGTTAAGAATCCTCACTCTGCTTTCTGTGGTGGTTTTGAGGCTCAGATGGAATCACGGGAGTGAAGACGTTACATAGATGCAAGACACCTGCGTGGAGATGGACCCAGCCGACCAGAGGGAAAGTGGTACCAGGAGAGGGGACCTCAGCGTAGAGCCAGTCCCGGGGCTTGCTTCCACATGGCATGACCCCATCTGGCCCCACCTTAGGGGCCCCATTCTGATCCCCATCCTGCTTGCTACCCAGGGCCTGCTTCACCGAGGCCCTGGTTCCAGTCTGGACTTGCTGCTGGAGGATGGAGAGGAACCTGGTGGGCTTGGTCTTTGGGCTCGTGGTCTCATCTTGTAGGGAGGGAAGTCAGGCCTCCACAGGCAGCTATGTAGATCATCAGGTGCTCACTGGAATGACACAGACTCGGTGCTGGGTTCTGAAGAGAGTGGAGCTGCCTGTGACTACGTGGTGGGACTCCTGGGAGCCTCCTCCGTGCCAGTCTCAGGTGACCGAGTGTTTGCTCGCCGGAGAGGGCTGAGAAGGCCTGAGGCTGCGGCTTCCTTCCAGGCAGAGGATGCCGGACATACTGGATTTGCCTCCTTCCTTGGGCCCGGCCTCCACTGTGTCTCAGACCCTGAGCCATTTCCTGGAGCTCTGCTGTCTACAGTCCCTGAGCAGGGTGGTTGGTCTCTGTCCCTAGAGGACCACAGAGTCACTGGATTCATCACTCTATTCCAGTGTGACCTGAGTTCCTGGGTTCCTTCTACCTTGGGTGTAGCCTCTGGGACCAATGCCCAAGCTGGCCTGCCCCTTGTCACTCCCCTACCCTTGCCCTGCCTGCCTGGAGTTGCCTTCCTCCAGGTGTGCCCGTCGGCTGTCCCAGCTGTCAGTGAAGTATTGTAATGGAAGAATCTCCAAGCTGGAGGGGCCCTTAGAGGTCACCTCCCCATATGTGCATCCCTGTGCCTTTCCCCACTGATGGGAGGCTCTCCGCCTCTGTCCAGACACCTTCCGTGTCAGGAGCTTCCTACCTCTGAAATGACAATTCTAATCACTGGGTCTTTCTTTCCTGGTGGCAGCCTCCTCTTCTGAAATTCCCACTTGTGGACCTAGTTCTGCCCTCTTGAGCTGTACGGAGCAAGTCTGACTCTTGCTTATGTTGTAAGCCAGGCTAAATGCACATTACACTCCAAAGCCCTTTAATCTCTGGGCTCCGGACGGTGCCTTGTTCCCACCTGGGGCTGTTCAGCAGTTCTCGAGCTCCTTCTGAGGCTGGGCTGCTGGGGAAGACAGCTCTGAACGAGGGCTGTCCTGGAGTGCACGCCGCACTCTGTGATGTCGCCTGCGAGACTCCAGCCAGTGGGCTCCTGAGGCTCCTTGCATAGGAGCCTTGGTCCCCTCTCCCACGCCTCCAATCTGCAGGGCCCGGGGGTGGCGCAGAAAATGAAGTCTGGCTTCTTTCCTTGAGTTCCTTTCCATACAGATGACCTTTCCCCATCTGTCTTATCATACATTCATACCATCACCCTGGTCTCCATGTCCAGCCTGGGCCCTCATGGGTCTTTGAAGACCGATCACTTCTGTCCATTTGTGGAACCTGAGGCCCAGGTTACTAGTTAACAGGTTAGTAGTTAAAGCTCCCTGAGCTGTGCTCTGGCTGCGTGTGTGCACCAGAGGGCTGTTTCTCCCACTTCCTCGGCAGTTCTTGGCTTTCCTCTGCGATGGTGCTGGCTCCCTCCTGGGGCGCCCATCTTCAAGGAGAGTTTGCTCTCCTCAAACCCCACTGGAGTGGGGTTTCCTAAGGGTGGAGTCACTGCAGGGTGTGGGCCTGGAGCTGACACCTCTTCTCCGGACAGATGGGCCCCCCTTCCCGGCGATGCCCTGCTGGGGAGGGGAAGCACTGTGCTCCTCCCTAGGCCGTTTCTCCAACAGGGGATCAGCCTGCACTTCCAGCCCCCTTTTTTCTTTTTTGGACCCTTCATTGGTGAAGATTCTGCTGGCCCTGAGAGAGCCCCCGTGACCTGACTCCAGGCCTGGCACCCCTACCCTCACCCCAACATCCTTCCCTTCCCCCGCTGTCCCACTTCACTTTCTCTCTGCTCCCTCTTACTTCCTCTTTTCTCTCTGCACCCTTTCTACCTCCTTCTGCTCCTCATGACTCCTGACTTCCCCTGTATCTGCCCCTTGACCTCCTTCCGCCCTCCCTTGGTGCCAGGCAGTGGCTCAGTGTCCCGGGAGCTCCCCCCACTCTTCTGCTGCGGTTGACAACGCGTGCGGAGCTCAGCCGTACTGCCCGGGGGACCGGTGCCTCCAGAGCCACAGGGGAATCTTTGACCTCCGCTGCAGGAACCTTCAGGGGCCCAGGGGATGCCAGGTGCCCCACCCCACTTTGCCTCCTGGGCCTTGGGGTTGTGGGCAGACCCTGTTCTGGGAGGAGCCACAGGATGAATGGCAGGGTATTGCTGTTAACAGAGGGCTGGAAACTGCCCCTCTCTGAAAGGCAAGGTGCCAGCTTAGTGAACACCTGTTTCTTGCTCCCAGCTCAGGATCCTCCTGTTCAAGTCCCTCAGCTCACAAGGAGGGAAGCTGAGGCTCAGAGAGAAGAGATTTGCCCACAGTCACAAAATGAGATTAGGACTCAGCTTTTCTGCCTCATTGTGCTGGACTTTCTGCAGCCCCAGGCTGTCTGGGTCTGATGGAGCAGCAGAGGTGTCCAAAGGGCCCTAAGCCCCAACTTCATAGGACTCTGGTGCTCTATCCTCTGCAAGGCTGGCTGACTCACATGTGGGTAACGTGTCCCACCAGGCAGATGGCCAGAGGCATTGGGGCTCTGGGCTGCTGCTCCGTGTAGACAGTGTACTTTCTGACCACATGGGGCCTGCTGAGACTGGAATTGGAGGATAGCAATGCTCAGGCTGGGGAGGAAGCAGAAGATTTTGCTGTGGTGACTATTCATTCCTAAAGTCCGTAGAAGTTGTACTTTGGGGGCCTCAGGGCTCTCATCTATGAGCTGCTGGCCCTCCCTAGGAAAATGGATTAATACTAGTTCCTTTTCAGGGTGGAGGACAACCCTGGCCCCCAGGGACAGCCTGGCATCCTCCAGGTTAGGAAGGGTAGAAAGAAGGTTCCTGTAGGGATGGTGCCAGCCCCCTGGGACTTTGGGAGGTGTATGGCCACGGGGAGGGGGCCCTGGGGCAGACCCCTCTATTTAGCTCAGAGCCCAGAGGGCACGGGGAGTTTGTGTCACAGCTGGGCTCTGAGCAGGGAGTTGTCCCAGAGCAGGGGATGCAGGGACCCTGGCCCTCCCCACCCATCTCCTTTTCGGAGATAGGGAGATGTGGGGTTGGTCAAGCCCTCAGCCCCCACAGTGATCCCCTGTACGACTGGGATTCCCAAGGTGCCCATCTCCCTGAGACATGAGAGGCGTGAGCCCCTCTAAGAAAGGAGACATAAGCCTTCTTCCCACCATGTGGCTGCCCTGCCTCCCAGCTCTGGGAGGGTTGGAGCCCTCTTGGGGGAAGGAGGGACAGGGATCCAACTGAGGAAGGGGAGAAGGCACCTGAGCACGTGTGGTCCCCAGAAAGTGGCCCTAGGGGGAATCCCCGCCCGCAGACACCCCTCCCTGTGAAGGATGTAAAAAAAAAAAAACCAAAAACTTGTTCTACCTTTTTGTCTCCCCTCACCCTCTGCCCGCCCCATGGCCCCCCCAGACTGCCTGCGCGTCGGCTGCGCACCCAGTAAGTGGTTTCCCTCTTCTTCTGCAGAGCCCCAAGGGGCCTGGGATTCTGGACACTGGGGTTTGGGGAGGGATGATGGGAGAGGAGAAGGCTTCATCGCTGGCTTGTGTGAGGCATGAGCAGCGGGTGTGGAGAGGGGAGCTGGAGTGGTGGGGATGGTGGTGATGTGGTTGTGGAGAGCAGAATGAGCCAAATGAAGCTGAACCAGGGAAAGTTGGTGGAGGGTCTGGGGTCAGCATGTTCACCAGGACCGGGGAAAGAAACGCCTGGAAACCTCATCATCTCAAGTCCTCAGGAGGGTGGGACAAAGGCTTGGTGGCACCTACAGCAGGATGGCAGAAAGGAGCCGGAGAGGGGCTGGGCCATCCCACTGCATCTCCAGAGGTGGCCACAAGGGGGAGAGCGAGGCACATGGGAAAGAAGATGAGAGCAGGTGGCAAGTGGGAGGTGAGCGTGCTCAGGGCCTCAAAGTTCAGCCCTCCACAGTCCCTGTTTGGGGTAGGGGGTGAGTTTCTGCCAAATGGGGGCACTTTCAGAGGTGACAGTGAGGCTCTCAGCAGGGGTGAGATGGAGAGTGGAGGTGGACATTTCTGAGCATCCCAGTATGCCTGGAGTCAATGCTCTGTCTCTATGAGTGTCTGCATGCTGTGCCCTGAGGTCATGTAAGAGAGCACAGGGACACGGCAGCCACAGGCAGAGAGTGTGTACTTAGCATATCTCTGTGTGTCTGGCACCTGTTTGCACATGCGTGGTGAACCCTGTCCCTGCTGGTGAGAGAACTGAGGGGCCCGGGGGTAAACTGGGAGTGCTGCAAATGGAGTGTAGCTCCATTCTAAAGCTGAATATGTTTTGTTTTAGTCTCAGAAGTGGTTAATCCAGGTCTTGAATAAATAGTCAATTCCTAAGAAACATTCCCCTCTCTGGTCGTGCTGGATGTGCCATGTATGAGAGTGCATGTCCGGGTGTGTGGAGTTAACCAGGCGTGTGCAGCAAGGTCACATTGGATCCCTCTGTAGATGGGGGACGTGTGTGTCTGTGTGGAGTTTTCACTGCCAGCAAAGAAGCTGTGGGTTCATAATCACATCTGGGTGTGTGGTAAGGCTCTTTAATTTTGTTTTAGGCCTATGAATATATGCTGGGAATTTAGCTGCTGGCTACACACATTGACACTGAAGGTCCTTAGGAGACTTAGGGAAGAGTATGTTGGTTGTAGGTGTGGGTGTCGGGGCACAGGATCTTGGGGCACAGGATCTTAGGGCACAACTCCAGAGGCACCACTCACAGGGTATTCTTTTCGCACGGCACCCCGGGAAGTTGCACAAAGTGTGGAAGTACTGAGTGTGTCTGGGGTTATGGCTGGGTTTGTGTGGATGTGTGTACCTGTGTGCAGGTGTGTGTGCGGTGGTGAGGCTCTGTGTGCCTGGGGTGGTACATGAAGCCATATGTGGGCGTGTGGAGGTGTCATGCTCACTCCCCCCTTGGTGCCACAGGTAAAGGCCCCGAGACGCTCTTTGCGGGGCACAAGCTCAATGACAATGAGTGGCACACGGTGAGGGTGGTGCGGCGTGGCAAGAGCCTGCAGCTGTCTGTGGACAACGTGACCGTGGAGGGTAGGTGGTCTGGGACCAGGGAGGTGGTGGCCCTATTCTTGGTGACCACTGCCTGGGGCAGCATTCTGGCAAGCTGCTGCTGCCATTTCTCCCCTCGGAGAGGTATTTCATGGGGTCCTGGGCCCCAGGGACCATTTTAACTCCTCACAGGCAGCACCCCCTGCAAGCCTGCCAGCCCTAGCCTAGGGTCCCACAGCTCCTCCTGGACCCAGGAGCTGGGCTTGCTAGTACCCACCTGCGGGTGTTTGCTGATGTCTCTCCCGTGTGGCCCTTGAGGGGAGGGGAGGCTCTTGGGGACCCAAGACCCAGCCCCAGAAATGACCCCATAGTCTAGGCCCAAAAGCCACGCGCCCATCTCCGTCTCCTGTCTCGAGCAGGACAGATGGCAGGAGCCCACACGCGGCTGGAGTTCCACAACATTGAGACGGGCATCATGACAGAGCGGCGTTTCATCTCCGTGGTGCCCTCCAACTTCATCGGGCACCTGAGCGGGCTGGTGTTCAATGGCCAGCCCTACATGGACCAGTGCAAGGACGGCGACATCACCTACTGTGAGCTCAATGCTCGCTTCGGACTGCGTGCCATTGTGGCTGATCCTGTCACCTTCAAGAGTCGCAGCAGCTACCTGGCGCTCGCCACACTCCAAGCCTACGCCTCCATGCACCTCTTCTTCCAGTTCAAGACCACGGCCCCCGACGGGCTCCTCCTGTTCAACTCAGGCAACGGCAACGACTTCATTGTCATCGAGCTGGTCAAGGGGTGAGGTGCTGGGCACTGCGCCACTGTCAAGGACGTGGTCCCCCCTCCCCTGATGACCAGGATACATCTCCCCCAGCCACTGGCTGAGATGTCCATTCCCCCTAGACCACAAGTCAAGATTCAGGTCCCCAGCCACCAGGCACGATGGAGAAGCAGCTACCTCTCTTCCACCCTGGTGACTCCCCAGTTACTTCCTTGCCAGGGCTTTCCCAGGTACCTCTGTTCTCCAGTCACTGTCCTGTCTCAGGCCTTCTGGCTCTTTTACAGGCAGAAGACAGGGCTGTGTCCCTATGGCCTCTCTTGCCTGAGAGGCCCCCAGCCTACAACAGGTCTTTCCCTGCCCCCAGAGGACCCCGCTCCCTCCACAAGTCTTCCCCTCAACCAGCTTCTCTTCTGAGCCTTCACAGGAGTCAGGTCCTCTGCAGCCCTCCCTCCCCACATTCCCCCATGATCGGACCTCACATCTGAGTCCTCGTGTGGTTGGTTTGGGTCCCTCCACTATGAGGTCTCCCTCTCCACCCCTTTCTCCCGCGGCACCCAGGCCCCCTGACAGACATAGCTCCTCCTTATCCCGTCTTCCCAGCACTGTCCCAACCTTGACCCAGTGTCTCCTCCGTACTGTGGGGCAGGTACATCCACTACGTGTTTGACCTGGGGAATGGCCCGTCCTTGATGAAGGGGAACTCAGACAAACCAGTCAATGACAACCAGTGGCACAACGTGGTGGTGTCCAGGGACCCAGGCAACGTGCACACGCTCAAGATTGACTCCCGCACTGTCACGCAGCACTCCAATGGCGCCCGAAACCTCGATCTCAAAGGTGGGGCCTGGGGCCTCTGGAGAAGGCCTGGCCCTAGTCCAGATACCCACCTCGGCCCCTTCAAGAGTACCCCTGACCTGGGATGCTCTTTCACTCTCGTGATTCTCCCTCTTCCCCCACCCATGGTTTTCCTCGCTCTTTTCCATTCTCCACTGTGCCCAGCCTGAAATTTTCCTGTCAATGTTCTGCTCAGCAATCCTGCGAGGCTGCCCTCTCAACACTGAAAGCCTGGCCGCAGGATGTGTCTGTCTTGTGAGGAGATTGGTGGCTTCACTCTAGAGCTGAGAGTAGGCAGCCCGGGGGCTTCCGAAGCCCTCCTGGCCCTCCAAGGCTGAGAAGTCTGCCTTGCTTGAGGGCTGGAGAGAGAACGGGGAGCTTAGTGTCCTGGCAGAGGCCTTCCTCATTGGGTGAGAGGGAGCAGTGACGAGAGGAGGAAGGAGTAGCGGTTGCTGGGTCCTTGCGTGCTGCCCTGGTCATGTTCCTTGGGCATTGGCTGGGCTCGGGCCCCCCTGGAGGGCCCAGTGTCATATCATGGTCCCCCATTCACCTGGGGCCTTTTCACAGCTGCTGAAGTGGTCATTGCCTGCCCCTAGAAGGGGCGGGTGGGAGAAGAGGGAAGAGGAGGGTGATCCTGGAGACTGGGTGTTGGAACAGATGTGTTGGACAAGGCCTGCAGCTTCTCCAGGGCTCACTGGGGCAACATGAGCGACCTTCACATGCCCAAAGCAGCCCTCAGTCCCATAGGGGCCCCTGGTGTCAGTGTGACTTAGACTGTCCCAGCCTGGGGAGGGTCCTTAAAGACTATTGAATTCAATCCCTCTTGGAGAGGCGGAAACAGGAGCTTCAAGAGGCTACATGGTTTGCCTGAGGTCCCAAAGTGAGCAGGCCACGGAGTTGGAACTAGAAGATTGGTCAGATCCTGGGCCACGTCGGATGGCATAGTGCTGCCAATTCTCCTTCCTCCCGGAAGGTGGCGGTGTGCCTCAGATAATCCACAGTGGCAGCAAACCCAGGGGTGGTCTGGGCTGATCTTGTGTTGCATTGAGCCCACAGCAAGGGCAGCAGGGTTGGCCCATGTCTTGGTGCAGTTCTGCTGTGGGCTGGCCGAGATTTCTAAGGAGTTGGGGCCTTTGTGGCCAGGCAATGATGTGGGGAATCAGTGTCCCTGAGGAGAACTTCTTTCCGGTGTTACCCACAGTGCCCAGGTCAAGCCTGAGTGGTTGTTGGGGGGTTGGTGCTGGGCTTAGACCCCCAGAAGAGAACTCAGAGTGGGGAGAGGCTGGCAGAGGCTTGAAGGAGTTCTGGGAATGGGAGACGTTGGGAGGGAGGGAGTGGGGGTGGAGGGGATTGGGCGGCACAGCTATGAAAAGCCCTGATTACAGGCCGGAACTGGAATCAGATGTGTGGGAGAGAGCACGGAGCAGGTTCCTCCAGCTGCTCCCCCCTCCCTGGGCATCTGGGCTTCTCTGGAAGGGGAGCAGACAGATGGCAAAGTGAAGAAGGAAGAGGGAAGAGTAGGGGGTGGGCATCTGCAGGCCACTGGATCTCTGTGAGGAAGCTGGGGTCCAGGATGGGACACCATGGGGCTGGAGGACCTGACAGTTGGCTGCCGATGTCCAGGGTGGGGAATGGGGACCCAAGGACCAGGATGCCGAGGTTTTGACCCTGCTCCCTTTGCAGGGGAGCTGTACATTGGCGGTCTGAGCAAGAACATGTTCAACAACCTGCCCAAGTTGGTGGCCTCCCGGGATGGCTTTCAGGGCTGCCTGGCCTCAGTGGACCTCAACGGGCGCCTCCCAGACCTCATCGCCGATGCCCTGCACCGCATCGGGCAGGTGGAGAGGGGCTGTGACGGTGAGTGTGGGGTTTGGGAGTTAGGTGTGACCCTGCAGGCTGCAGGGGGCCAGCTGTAGAGGCACACCAGGCCTCTGGAGTGGCCTCCTCTCAGGCTTTGCAGGAGCCTGGCACCACAGCTCTGGGGCAGGGTATGGGTGGAGGTCAAGGGTCACTTGCCCTCCCTATTGCCTCCCACTCTGGCCCCTTTTCACAGTTCCAGGCCAAGACTAGCAGTCCTTGAGCTGCCCCCCATCCTCACTCCCACCCCTGCACTGTACTTGGCCCTTTCAGCCCGGCAGAACTCAGGCCTGGCCCCGCAGCCTCTGCACCTCCTGGGGAGGGAGGGGGCTTAACTGAGCGGGGGGTGTTCCTTCCTCCTGCCTCTTTCAGGCCCCAGCACCACCTGCACCGAGGAGTCTTGTGCCAACCAGGGCGTCTGCTTGCAGCAGTGGGACGGCTTCACCTGTGACTGCACCATGACTTCCTATGGAGGCCCCATCTGCAATGACCGTGAGTGCCGGGAGGGTTGGGGGTGCTCAGAGTAGATTCTGGTCCATTCCCAGCCCCAGGGATGCTCCAGAGGAGGGAGGGTCTCTGAGAGCCTGCTGCTTGCATCCTTCTCATCCCTTCTGGTCACGAGAGACCAAGGAGAGCGGCTGGCTGCCGTCCTCTCTCGAAGTCTCCTCTCTTCTGCTGCTGCCTGAATGTCTGGGGTGATCATTGAGAGATGGCCTCTCCTCTTCCTTCTGAGCTGGTGGGACACTGCTCCCCTCACCCCCAGGCAAAAGTGTCAGCCTCGTTGCTCTCCCCACATGATCCTGGCGATGGCCTTACATGTTGTAGCTCACACAGACACACGACTGCACAGGGCAGGGGTGTGTGTTGACCCGTACCCCCTTTCCTCGGCACCCTCAGAAGTGTGCAGTGGAAACCTGTTATTTCCTGCCCAGAGGAGGCCCACATCCCAGAAGATGGGCTCAGGAGACTCTCAGGAGGCCAGGCCTCTGGACAGCCGGCTTCCCTGGATGCCGGCCATTCAGTTCCCTGTTTTTCTCCCAAGAATCCCAGCTGCAGGGTGTCCCTTGGAGCCACAAGGACACTCCCTTATGTCCTCGCCTGATTCTTCTCCCTGGCTGGGCATCTGCTGCCAACTTGCATATCATTTGAGGCCCCTCCCCAGAGAGGGCAGCTTCAGCAGCAGTTTCCAGTCCCTAGTGGTTGGTGGCCAGCAGCTGGTTAGAGCTTGGCAGAGGGAGGGCAGCCAGGGAAGCAATGGGGGAGAGACAGCCTCCTGCTTGAGGGCGGTGGGCTGGGGACAGCGGCTGGGGAGAGTGCAGCCTCCTTAGGCATCACTTGAATGGTCTCCCTCAGGGTAACCCTGCTGAGACACCAGGGACGTGACGAGTCAGCTGTCTGGGAAAAGACACACACAAACACACAAGCAAGCACATACACGCGCATGCGCGCAGGAGGATGGGGCTTCTCCATTTTACAAATATGCACACTGAGGCCTGGAGGGGTCAGCGGATTTCCGGAGCAGTGAATAGTAGATCTGGGCTGAGAACGGGGGTCAGTGCCTTTGCCTCTGTGCCACACTGCAGACCCTTAGTCATTTGGGCAGGGTCCTGGGCTTCTTCCGGGATAGATGACCTACTGCTCTGGGGCAGGTCTTGGTTTTTCCTTCTCCTTTGTAAGAATGACCAGCCCAGCTCCCTCAGCACTTTCCTGGTGCTCTCAGGCAGGGCCCATCCTTGGGTACCTCCACATCCTGCTCTGTCCCCCAGGATTTTTCTTGTCCCATCTGCCACTCTTCGTACCTTCCAAAGCCCCCAGTGGCCAGCCCAGGGGCACTCCAGCCCTGGCTGCCAGGGAGAACAGCCGGAGCTGGGGCTGGGCCTCTTGTTCTCCAGCTTACTCAGCTTTGCACAAGAGATCTGGAGATGGTGGTAACTTTGCTGCTTTAGAGTAACAAGCCCCACTGATTGTTTAGTGTTTTGCAGCTTACGGAGCCCTTTTAATTTGTTCCTCAGAGACGGCAGTAGGATGGAGACCAACTGTCTGATTTAACTGCTAAGGAGACTAAAGCCTCAGTAAGAGGCACTTCCTTGCCCAGTATCACAGGGCCCTGGTGGCAGAGCACAGCCAGAACCCAGGCGCTCCTAACCCAGTTTGTTGTCCCTGCTGCTCATTTAGTCGTGGGGTGGTGGGGGTGGAGGTGATGCCAATGATAGGCATTTCTTGCCTTGGGTGCAGGGGATCAGGATCAAGTGCCCATTGTTACTATGACATTCCCACCCGATGGAGTCTTCTGGAAGGGAGCATAGCGAGGGATGGGGGTTTAGGGAGTCAAATCATCTTTCAGTAGGGGTGGGAAGAGAGCTAGGAGCAAATTCTCTGGGTTCCAGGCAGGTGGGAGGCAGGGAGAGTTGGGGCTGGGTTTGGGCACATCTTGGGAAGTCTCACTGTCTGTGAGAACTGGTCTGAGTGTCTGGCGGCAGAGCCTGAGCAGAGCCATGAAGGTAAAGACAAGGTGGGTGCAATCTGGGAGCCTCTGAATGCTAGCCCTGGGGTACCTCTGAGATCTCTGCCCCACAAAGGGCAAGGCAGGAATCTGGGGATCAAGCCATAACCCCCTTCTCTCTTGAAGTTGTGCCTCCTCCCGATTCTCCAGGCTTGGCTCTTTCGAGTTCGTGCTGTCTCTCTGTGGTGGGTCTTCTTCAGACCGTTTATGCGCATGGTCAGGCAGGAACCTGGCTGAAAGGCTTGTTTGCTAGCCACCGCCCCCGAGTGTGAAGGCGCCAGAGGCAGCCCTGGGTGCCCCTGGCCCCTGCACCTGAAGAGAAGGAGGAGGGTGGGAATGGCCCAAGCATCCTTAGAGGGTGGGGCCTGGGGTGTGGAGCTGCCTGGTGGTAAAGAGACTGGGATGAGGAGGGGTCTGACCTTCAGGACAGCTTTTCCCCATGCGCGGCTTTAGTTTCCCCAGCTGGGACATGGGGATTACCCCTGGGGTGAAGGGGTCTCTGCGAGGCTCAGGAGTCTGCCCTGGGAGGGCAGGAGAGAGATCAGAGGGAGAGAAGTCATCTCTAGGATGAGAGAGAGGAAAGCAGAGACAGAATGAAAAAGAATATGAAATGAGAGAGGAAGGAAGCTAGGAGGAGGCACACTTCCTGGCACGGACTGAAGGCCCAGGGCTGAGGTTGGGATGGGCGCTCCTCCCGGCCTTCCTGACACTGTGTCTCCCACAGCCCTTCTCGGTCTCTCCCACAGGCAGCTCTTCCCCTTCTCTGCCTCCTATTTCTCATCTTTCCTTCCACTTGCTCTGCTTGTCTCCGCAGCCTCTATTGATCTCTTGCACACCTCTTTCTCTCCCTTCTTTTTTACCCTCTGTCTCCCCCTAGGTCCCCAGTGTCACCCCCTCCAGCTCTCTCCACTTCCCACTCACTGGTATTGATTGGCCTCTAGGCGGTTTCCCTTCCTCTCCTCTTGCCACCGGCTCCTCCCTCCCTCCCTCCCTCCCTCGGGGACCATACATTTTCTGTCTGCTCAGAGCTGTGTCAGTCTCTATCCCAGAGCCAGGGCCAAGAGTGTGCATGGAATGAGAGGGCTGATGGACAAGGCTTTGGGGGCACCAGTCCTGCTCCCCAGCCTGCAATCTCCCCTCCCTTGTGGAGCTTCCTCTTGGGTGCCTCTGAGGACCCTTTCTTCAATTCTGAAGGGCTGGGGGCCAAATGGGTCCCTGGCATCTAGCAAAGTTGGGGAGGTGGCAGCTGCCACAGAGGAGCTGTCCGGGGTACTGACTGCATCCAGAAGCTGGGCTCAGTGCCTGTGGGGCTCATGGTGACACTTTTTGCTCCAAAACAGAATTCAGAATCAATAAGCAGGAGCCAGCCCCCTCCCCTCCCCTCCTCCCCCTTTCTTTTGCCCTTTCTTCCCACCTCTCCTCTCACTCTACTACACTCTTTCTTCAGCTCCTTCCTGGTCTCATCTCTACCTCCTTCCCTCTCTTCCTCCTTCTCTACGCTCTGCCCCACCCCATCACACCCCCACCCCCACCCCCTGTCATAGCAGAGCATCATCTGAGCAGAACTCAGGTTGATGTGGGTGCAGAGATGGCCTCCAAATGAAGGCTAGAAAGCTTCCCTGGACTTACTTCTTGGCCTATGACAAGTGCTTACCAGAGGTGCCCCAAAGTCTGGGGGGCAGGTCCCAGTGGAGGGGCACCTAGAAGGAGAAGGGACTTCCTCAGCTGGACATAAAGTGGCCCAGGAAGGGTTTTGTCCCAAGTGGAACACTGTGGATCCTGGAAACCCTCTGTAGAGGGAGAGGTTGAGGTTGGGGGAGGGGCAAGGGGACTGGAGAGGAAGGATTGGAGGAGTCCAGGAGGGTGTGCAGCGGGGAGGGAAGCACCCTTTTGGGCAGGTGGTGAGGGACTGTGTGTGTGGCATGTCTTACCCTTGAGTACCTTTGAGGCTCTGGGTGCATTGTTTGTATGCATATGGGTAACCCTGTTTTTGGATGGTGAGCTGGGAGGTGTCTGTGTGTACACTGGGTCTTTACTGCCTGTGACCAAACATGTATGTGTGTGTGCACGCATGCCTCTGTGAGCATGTGTACATGCTCGGCTGAGTGTGAGTTCGTGTGCCAGAGTCTGAGCACATGTATACATGTATGTGTCTCAGCCTATGTGTGCGTGCCCGCGCACTGGTGCCTGTGTGGGCACGTGGGTGTCTCCATACCCAAGCCCGTCCACATCATAGCGTGCACGTGTGTTCCGAGGGTTGCATGCAGAGGTGCCAGTGGCCACATCTCTGCCGCACTGGACCAGCAAGCACTACTGGGGTTCATCCAGGTTGGGGGGAGGGGAGGAGGAGGAAGAGAGCGGCCTCTCTTGCTAGCCTGAGATCTGTTCAGTTATTCAGCAGAGCCCCTTCTCCGGAGGGGGCGGGAGAGGAGCGCGGGCCCGGGCGCGGGGGAGGGGCAGGGCGCGCGCAGAGGAGAGACGAGCGCCGAGCGGGCTAGCCAGGTGCT